AAAAAAAACATTAATTTGTACATGTTATTGATTCATCTTTTCATTTCTTTTTCCTCAGTTCCGGACCACTTCGATCAGGAAAAAGTGCGCTGACTCACGTCAATGTCCTTTCTACGTTTATGTCAACACACGAATTTATTTTCGGCTGCTAAATAAACTATTTACATCTATATATTTGCTCTACACGAAACAGTAATATAACGACTAATGTTATCTGCATTGCTTGTCGTAGTGCTCATTCCGATTGCTCATACTTTCATCCCAGACTCATCTTTATTCGATGCTTATGGTCTCAAACTTGCTGCAAATGATGCTCTTCTAGTTGAAGCTATTAATGTGAATTCTGTATTTCTTCTACGTTTCTCTCCTTTTGATTATTCTTTGACTTGCACAATAGCTTACAATGATTCAAATCAATATATCTACGCTGTAGCACTTCAATCGCAAATTACATCTAACGATAGTACTCGTTTTGTATTCATTGGCGTGAGTGAAGATACAGATGTGCCATTTATCGGCTCGTTAACGTACACAGGTGTGTCAGTAACGGCATATATAGCATCAGTAGGCAATTCGACACGTCGAGTAAAATTTCCTTGTACGGGATGGCAAAAAAGTAGTTACCGTATCCATTCTTTGATGAATCTTGCTGATGATCTTGAACAAACTGATACAAATAGTTTTTTCGTTGTCACTGTGACGTAAGCATTCGCTTTAACCGGCTCTCCGTTACATCTTTTTGTATATTTAGGTCAGATGGTAGATACGCTTATGCATTTACAAATACTTTTCTGATTATTTATGATCTCGTTCAGGATATTATTAGTACTCAACTTGCCAATATTACCTGGCCGGATACATCGTTTCTTCCACGAGCTGTTGACATTAGCCAGAATTCGCTTATCATTGTTCTTGGGTATATTGGAAGTTCCGATACGAAATATACACCGTGTGCATATTTACTGAATGTAACCAATTCGATTTTGACTGTTGTGGACGCATGGACATATACACCAGCAACAAATACATCATGGCAAGCTCGTCTGACGAATTGGAATGCTGATATCTATGCGTCGAAATACGATTTATCTGTCAGTTGGGGCGCAGCTGGCGATCGAGTTCTTTTCGGCCTTCAAATCATGAATACGATTGTATTAGTTAGCGTCGATCAAGTAAATCAAAACTTTGATTCCGCATCTCAAACATTGTCAAATGGAAAAGCGGTTGGAATGGGCAAAGCAGTTGGTTGGCTCGATTCCGATTTAATTATAGTACTCGTAAATATATATTCATTCAATTATATTTGGTCATCTTCACAAGTCATCGTGTATAACGTCAGTAATAACATTACTTTCACTGTTCTATCAATTTTCCCCAATATTCAACAAACTTTATCAGATACATTTGGACCCATTATTCTCTCATTCTCTATAACTCAAAATGGAACAGTTGTTCTATTGGATTCTCTAGGCAATTATTACATTCTTTTGCCTTCGTCGGCTGGTTCATTTTCTGACACCAGCTCGGGAACATCTTCATCACCAACAGCATGTATTGCTGGTACATTCACTTCAGAATTCGGCATTTCACCATGTTCGCTCTGCCCATCCGGTACTACAACAAATGGCCTCATCAGTCAATCGTCGTGTGTGTCGTGCAGTAACGATAGTTTCTGTTCATTAGGTGCAGCGTTTGGAGATATTAGTACGTCTTCGGCTCTTCTGACGAACATCAATCAAGCACGTGCTTATCCTGTCTCTCCACAATCGATTCGTTTCGATAATATTCTCATTGAAAACATGTTTGCCATTAATTCAGAATCATCGAATTGTTTAGTTCATTCTCCACTTTTCTGGGCATTGATTGTCGTTGCCGTGGGTTTATTTGTTTGGATTCTTATGTTCATTTTCGAGCGATACGTTAAGAATCCGCTAGGTAAGAAGACACATAAGCAAATGGAACGATTTTTCAAGAAAACAGATCTGATTGGCGAAGGAGAAATGGTCATCGGTGGTTTATTTAGTTTTGCTATCATTGTTCTTGTTGTATTTGCATATACATTCAGTACTCTCTATTTTCAACGTTATCCTATTGAACAAGTCTACCAAGGTGCTTCTTTTGCCTGCGATGAATCATTGACAAACGCACAATTCAGCTCAGGTCTTATGCCTATTGGTATTCCACCGGATGATATTGAACAGCCAATCTTCACCTTACTCGATGCTCAACCATTAATCTTATCTATTGACTTTGTGAATACAGTCTTCAACTGCACTGATGTGACTGTTTCACAAGTTAAAGATGTTAGCTTGCAAATGACACTCTCATCTTGTAATGATAGTGCAAGTACCATGTCTTTATCACTGGCTTTACCATCTCATGATATTAACCTTCAGATTGCACTCACTGGTACGAACACGATTGGCGCTTTTCGTCTTAGTTTTCAAGGGCCTGGTTCCGAGTTGATGAATACCACGTTATCGACTTCATACACACTTCAGGATTTAGTATTTTCGCAGACATTATCTTACAATGGCCGATTGCTAGCACAACAGGCGTCGTGTACATTACAATTTACAAAAATCATCAATCGCACGTATCCATTAGAAGAACATGGCGAAACCAAATTTAGTGGACTTTGGTTACCAACACTTTCGACAAGTGTGGATAATGTGTTTGCCGACGAAAACGAATATAAATACAGTACAAGCACCAGTACCGTTCTCTCGATTGTTATCAGTGAAACCTCGTCTTATGTACTGAATGTACAAAAACCAATTACAGCTAAACAGGAACTTGTTTTTACTAATCTTCTTTACACAATCGTATGCTTGGAAATCTTTGGCTTGGGTTTTCTAATTTTTAAATTGATCGTCATCCCATTTTTCAAATCGATCTTACGCTATTTTCGTCAACGTCATCGATCGGCGGCAAATCATTCGTCCTTGGACAAACCTACTCTGACAGAACTAAACGATACTCATCTATAATGTACTTTTTTCCTCACACAGCACCGAACACGTGAACGAAAATGTGATTAGAATAAATTTTCAGTTCTGATGCCACCTTGAAGTTTTTCTTCCCTTCTCAGTACAATTTTTCGTGACGTTCAAATTTTACTGGTTAGATGTTGTACACCAATCAACCTTCTGTTTATTTTCTTTTCATTCAATGACTATTTGTGCGTTATGTTTACTCTCTATGTTGTCAGAGATTGCTGGAGATCAATGAGTAGAAGCTACGCAGAATGTTATGCACCGGCATAAACCGAAACGGAACACGTTTTTTTATTGTGCTTTAAAATTCTTTCATCTTTGAGCTGTGTTTCTTTTTTCTCCTATTAAGTAGAGAGAAATGATTTTACTCGTAAATATACAGAATTGTCATTGAGAATGTCTGTTGTTAGGAGAAGGTATATATATACTTCATAGCTAAACATATTCATTCATTTCGACAGTGATCAGCACTCTTTCTTTGTTAAACTTTTCGGACAAAATATAACATGAATTGCATTGGTGTAAGCGCTCTTCTTCTCTTGAGTAAGTACTGCACTGTTCAATAATTGTTACCGATTGACATGTTTTCCCTTTCCAAAGTTTTATTACCTATGGTAACAACATTATCCTGCTTTGTTTGTTCCTCTGGTAATGGTAATTGTAACGATCCTTTCACGTCAACCAGTACATCATTGGCTAGTGGAGTGACCGTCTCAAGCAGTTGCAATGCTTGTGTGGTAGGTAGTCACAAAATTTCTCGATGTATTCTTGAATTTGTTTCTTTCGACAATAGAAAACGGGTACTTCATTCGCAATGGCGCGTGCATGTAGTACATGTCCAGGTGTTAGTATTTTTGTCGCTGGTACCGGTGTAGCTTGCTGTACAGACAGAGATTATTGCAATGGTGCATCGACCTTCTCCAACGCTTCAATTATTCATCTATGTGTAGCAACTTTAGTACTCGCTGTACTTAAAGTTATCTATCATTAATCTGATTTTGTAAAAATATACGTGTGCATTTCGTTTTTCTTTAATAAACCAGCTGTATACATTTGTAATAGACATCTTAAATATTCATAGTGAGACACAACTTGAAATTTGCTGATGAGAATCTGTAAAATGCAAATCAAATCTTAACTGTGTCATCGAACACATTCTATATTTAACTATACAGAGAAAAATGAATGGAATAATATCTATTTACTGCTAATTCTCTCTTTCGAGAGAGAGAACGACAATGTACAAATACAATTGCGAATATTTGCGTGTTTGTCAACATGAATTTGAATTTCGTTTGATTGCGCACATCAGTAGATGAATTTTTACATTTGAGATATTTTTATTCTGAATAATAATTCATATCGGAGCAGAAACGTAAAACTCTTACAAAGGCTGTTGTGATTTTAATACATCGATTGGCATATTTTTCGTTATATTTAAATTAGCAAGGACGTCAGCGTAGCGTCGAATTACAAAAAATACAAACTCATAAACAATTCGTGATCAATCTTACAGTTCTGTTTCTTCTACCAGTGCTACGTCTAATCATTTCCTTATTATCTAAATTCGTAGATTTGTCACAGTGTTCATGATTGTATTTTTCTACTTATTCTATTTCGGTTGTATCATTAAGACTCACTTTCATCGTATGAACGACAAGATTATCGTCTCGATCTTCCAAATGTCACTAGGAGACAAAGTTCTTTCACATACCACTAGATCAGCAATCTGAAGTCGCCATAGAGGCTTGTTCATAGTGATTCCATCGAGACGGATGCATTCTCGTTCCGTTCTGTCTCTATGTAAACTAACCAATAACGATGATGTTGATGCAATAGAGAAGTGATGTGTACACACAAACGGTAAAAATGTCGTACTTTTCCAGTTACAGCAACAAACTGAAGACCAAGTCATTTCGAAAACATGATTTAACTCATTCGAATGATAGGACCGAATCAAGTGATAGTAAGACGCTAACTAAAACCTCTACAATAAGTTCTTCTATGGAATCTCGTCGTTTCAATCGTGAACGACTTAATCTTGAATCACATCAGTTAGTCTGTTATGACACCTACAGTCAACATGCCACCGCGAGAAACTTCACTCTGACAGAGCTACGTCAGATCATTGACTACACTAAATTCTTCGACAATAATAAATCCTGTAAACGTTATCTGGAAGAAACTCAACACATTGTGTCTTTCCTCATTTGCTCGGACACTACCAGTGAACAATTGATTCCTGAGATTCACGAACTACCCAACGTTCGCTTCATCTACATATACTCTCCGCACAACGACTATGATCAACAGTGGATGAACAAGTACATGAAGGTAAGATTGAAACTGGCCTTCACCGTAACATGTGAACATTGTCACTGTAGATCAAACAAGTTTACACTGATCGTAAATCTCTACTTCAGGCAATCGAGAGCGATGTCAAGAAGTATCTGGAAAAGGAAAAGAATGGTCTATTTGGTAACTTCGACAGACAGGATAGAACCACAGAGTCCGGATCTGCTTCATGGTGGGTGACATTCATGGATGCCCTCTGTTATTTGCCCTATCCAAAAGAGACGTGCCATCAGCATCTCATTGCTGAACTACGAAACTACTACACCGGTAAAGCCGCTGAGTTACGCATCATCGATGAGTTTGAACACGAATATACTCCCGAGAAAGCGATCTGGTGGTACACACGAGACACCTTCTTTTTCCGTTTGATCAACAAAGCAAATCGACAACATTACGTCGGAGTGATGTTTGCATTCGGCTACTACATTAAAGATGTATTTCTCCAATTAAAGAAAGAACACGAAACTTTCAAAATCAAGAGCATGGATAACGCGCAAGTAAAAGTATTTCGAGGACAGATCATGTCCGAAGATGAAGTTCAAACGTTGAAATCTGCTTATATGGTAAGATTAACTAGTTTCCTATCAACATCACTCAATCGACGTTTGGCGCTTAGTTTCCTTCCACCCGAATCTGCAGTGACCGGCGGTCATGTTCGAGTATTAATAGAAATTAACCTGAACACGAAATATAACTCGAAGCCATTCGGGAATATTTCTCATTTGAGTGAATTCTCTGAAGAAGATGAGGTACTGATGATGATTGGAACGTTCCTTCGTGCTCGCCGCACTTATTACAGCGAAGAAGACAAGATGATCAAAGCAATCATGACACTGGAAAATGATTATATCTTGCCATTCGAGGATAAACACATGAGTCTAAAAGCATGTGTTAGTANTCAAATCTATTTCGATTTCTATAGGATACAACTCGCGAACTCTACATCTTCTTCAAATCTATTTCGATTTCTATAAGATACAACTTGCCAACTCTACACTATCTTGAAAAATAAATCTCCACAACTCACAATTATTTGAAACATTTAGGCTTCTTTTATTTTCATTCCTTTGAATTCGAGTTTAATTCTGCCTAAAGTATAACTCTGCCTGGCACATATATAAATGTAATAGAGGCATGAGAATGAAAATGAGTTTAGTAAAAATATATTTCGTCTTTCTCAGTTCATGCCATCATGTAAAATAATTTTCAATAACGAAGAAATCGTGATACTTCAATATTTATGCATGGATTCCTCATATCCTTCACGTAAACAAGACGAATTCAACGCCATATTCATATAAAGAGTCCTTTCAGTCTCGTTACACATTTCCATTGGAGTCGATGTTTGGAAATTTAGGGCAAAGGTCAAATCTGAACCGCTAAAAGCAGTCAGCGTAATTCTACTCGTACAAGATGAGACAATGACAATATGTAATAAATTCATATCGAAAATAGAGATTCTTAATCTATAAGTTGTGTAATATATCGAGTCCATACTTAACAGAGATGATCATTATAATGGTAGTGTCTGCAGTTACTATCAAGCTATTGTGTTTATTTACATTGTCAGTGAGAAGTTGATTGACGAAAACTAACAGTTTTTCAACAAGTTTGTTTTAAACAATTGAAGAATATGGGATGTAGTATTAGCCAATTGAAATTGCCATCCATCCATAATAGTCATCTCAAATGATTTCGAAACTTGTGCAGCTGCTCGTCCAGAAGTAACAATCAAAACTAGTTCTGATATTTTCATCGCAATCGTATTTGAGCAGACTTTCGTTTGTGTAATCAGATGAATATTATGTAATCCAAAATGAAAATGAGTGCATCTACTAGCGATGAAAGTTCTTTCATTTCTTTTCGTCTTATCTATGAAAGTTGTCTAACTTTTCTTTGTAATACTCATAAACATTTCAACTAAGAAGAAGAAAAGTATCTTTCTTGATTATGGTGCGTAAGTGGAACAAAGTTGTGCATTTTGTTAGCGTTGGTTGCACAAACGAAGATAGAGAACGAAATATAAATTCAATTCAGAAATAGAATCAATATTTAGTGGAGTACAACCAATAATTTCTATCAAAACAAAAGCATTTTGTTTTGGTCAACTCAAATAATTACGGGAAGAATTCAACCATAGCGTCACGAAAATTGAAGCGTTCGTCTTATTTTATTCAGTAAATATCGGATCATAATCAACGAGTGTATTAATCTATTTTCAAAGTACTTTGCTCATACAGATTTCGACATTTTAATATGATTAATTGTTAACAGAAAAGGAAAGAAATTTTGCATATGAAGAATTTGTTTCCAAGAGGATTTTTTCAGGAATTCTCTAATTATATTTCACCTTGAAGAGGCACTGCATATCTACCAATCGTATGTTTCTGTCCACATTACGAAAGTTATGCGTATAGAACAAACTAAACATTGAATCTTGTTTGAAAGAGATGTGAAAAAGTTTCTCGAAAAACAAAATGAACCATCGTGTAACAAATCTGAGTAAAATATCAAGATAGTTGATCCAAAAGGAGGCTGATTCTTTGATTTCTTTCAAGACACTGCTTCTGGCAAGTTTAAGCAAGGATTTCGCGGGAAGTACTTTTATCTTTTGTCTTCTAGTAGATTATTAACACACCAAGTTCTCACCTACACCCATCCGTCAAAAACGATATCATTTTTATAATCCCGAGTTTATTTTATCTAAAAGCGTCGATGTTATGTTCGTGATTTCCAATCGTATTCTTTGAAATAGATGACTAAAGTATCCAATGAGACATTATCGACGTTTGCTAACGATTTCGAGTTGTTTACGTCACTTGGAAGCTAAATGGAAAAAAAAAGATAATTGACAAATGAGAATGCGGATAGAGCATGGTTCACTACTTTTGAATCGTCATCGAAAATCATACTTGACTTCTTCTTTTGTTTTGAAATATTTTCCTTGATTTCCAATGGTTGATTACTATTCTTCTTCTTTTTCCCAACGCAGGAGAAACATCGTGCCATAGTATTTTATATCTAATTTGTGTAAAAAAAAATGAGAATAATTTCAGTCATTCATGCTGTAACAATCAAACGAAATCAGTCACATTTCATAGTGAGTAGAAAAGAAAGAGAACGCATTTCTTTTTTTTCTTTTTCTTTGTTTTTGTTATTGCGTAGCAGAAAAAAAAACGTACAAAACACGACAGTTGATCCGTCAAGATAAATACGATTCGATTTGCATTTCTTTTCAACGATGAAGAAAAAAAATATGGAAGAACGAAATTCAAAGTGCGTTCACCAACGATGTAACAGTGGGCGAGAATAATCAGTATCAGTTGACTTTCAAAGTGCTGCCTGATCGTTCGTTCTATATAGTTTATTAGACGAAAAAGTGACTTAATTGTTGCACGTTCCCCGAGTAAATCAGTCAAATGTTTCATGATACCACCACCGATTTTATTCGATCGAAGGTCCACTACTGCCAGTGTCTATATACAAGAAACGTATCGACGAGAGAGAACGTATGGCATTCGAAATCACTTTGTTTTTTTCTTTTGTAATAAAACTGCCATAGATTGCGCGCCAGTATCTTCTGTTTCATTGAATAGTCGAGTCAGTTTATTAAGTTTCAATATTTATCAAAAATATTATAGACTCGGCAGAAATGCAGAAGTTTACCGAGCTATGCCGTAATGCATCAGCAAGAGATTGCGGAGCATCAAGATCTCCAATCTGATTGTCTATATAGATGAAGAGAAAAATCAATGTGCCGTTGCTTCACATACAAGGAAAATCCTTTTATTCTATTTCAAGACATTACCGATATATTGTGCTCCAACGCTCCCGATTCGACTATTAGAAAAATCTACTGTTGACAATGTCTATTCATAACATGTAGTGAAAATACATATTTGTAGAGAACAACGATTACTGTATTGATTCACAAGGCATCAGTTAAGTGTTGATCACCTGTATCACTCATCGAATTATTCAAACAGTCAAGAGTAGTAATTTTCTACATGATCGGAGAATGTTTGGGAGATGAAGTAGTGTTAAAGAAAAACTCACATTCTTTCGTATTAGATCAGCGAGATATTTTACGCCAGAAGGTCCGATTTGATTATTAATCTGTGCCAATAAATAAGTCCGTAGATTCGAAAGCCGTCGACAAGCGAACTGACTGTGTTGTTTAGTGGAGTATATGTAAGATGTTGTATTCCTCTATCTCAAGTTGATTATACGAGAGATATTCAGCATGGTCAAAGTTTGTATGTCAATAAGAATATAACTATCTTAAAGATGAATATTACCGTGTTCTTTCATAAAGCGTGTGCCGATGGTTGTACGCCCTTTTTTCCAATTTGGTTGTTGAAATGATTCAATGTAGTTTAATATCTATACAATATTTTCTGTATTCGATTCTTCAATCACACTGCGGTCTCGTTTTATTCTCTCGTAATGCTTGCCTAGCTACGATTTTCATGTGTTGATCAACTAATTCAGCAGCAGATTTGTGCTGGACAATCTTTTGTTCGAATTTGTTCTTTCGATGTTTGTTGGTCATATTTCAACGATCTGATCTACTTGAAATGAAAGAAACTAACATAGGTCATGATGACGTAGTTTGTAACAACGTATTTTTCTTCTTCTTTTGCATTTCTACAATCGATAAGTTGAACACAGATTAATAACAGTAAGATTTTGACCTATATACTGCTTACATATAGAACTGCCAGATTGCAACCGAACCAGCATTCTATCCAAATCTCTAGATAGGATCAGCCGTTCGATCTGAAAATTTTATTGTAGACTGTATAAATATAGGCAAACGTATGGTGAAATTTTCAGCATTATATCCTTTACAAAGATAGAGTTTTGTCTCGTTCTATACCTACGACCTGACAGCTCTGGAAAATCAGTAGAGTGCGACAAAACTAAGTGGGCTTTCTGGTACGGGTAGAGCACTATGGGAACTACATATTGTACTAACAATATTGCTTCTATTTTCGCAAATCGAAAACTTTCGCCATTTTCTTCAAATATCACATAGTTTTATCAAGAATATGAACCCAAAATTCTTGATTTTGAGATAATGTCTCAGCCTCAGTTAAAGAGGCGGGATTCGAGTTTTTGTTTCGGACCAAAACCCGCTAAGAGCTTGCTTCTGCATAAGTTTAAAAGTTAACAACTCTTATTTAAATGGTTTTTGTCTAGGGTCGGGACTTTTGTCGACTACTGTATATGTTGCAGCACTTCTTGTGCGATAAACATTTGCTCACGCCATGTAAAAATCCATAAGGAGCCAGTTGATATAAAAAAATCAACTCTTAGGCATAATACATCCTTATACTGTTCTTTACCGAAAGGCATTTCTAGTGAGGGAAGAAATTTATTACTTTATTTTTGGAAAGGAAAGAAAGTGATGGCTATCAATGTATCGCAGAACTTATAGTTGCAATTATTCCATGATATTTCAATCTAGTATGTATGAATTTACTTTGTCTGCATCAAAATCTTGGTTAGTTAAAAATGAACATTTGTCATTCGAAGTTTAGTAACGACCACGAGATCAATTGATACGCAAAGCACTTTCTTCAAGTACGATAAATTTTATATTCTATAGGAAATTATCACCAATACAACACTTATGAGGATAAGGAACTTTCTGGCATAACGCCATCTGTTTCACCTTGAAGATGTCGTCGATATATTTGTACTTTTTCTGTTCTATGTTTGTTTGAAAGAAGAAAAAAAACTCGTTGAAGAACATTAGTAACATTCTTTTTTTTTAGTATATGGTGGTGTAAACAGAATTTCTTCTTTCTATCCTTCTCTTTTTTTCTGTTTCTTTTTTAATATCCGATTTTTTGGTGACACAGTAAGACCAACATAGAACTATTACACATCTAGTGAAACTAATCGAATTAATCATAGCTCAAAATCAAAGTCTACATCGATCAAAAGATTCACTAATGCTCGTCCGAGAAGTTAACACACCAACGACCATAAACAACCAGTACCGCCGTTCCGAATCTATCTGGCGTGTCTTTATTGATATTATTTGTCTCTCAATCTGTATGATTATTTTTTATTTTGTTTGAAAAAAAAACAAATTTCTTTTTAGTACTCGCTGCATCGCTCGTTTCGCATTATCTCATTCAACCGTTTACACGTGGATTCTTTTGTTCGGATTCATCAATAAGATATCCGTACAAAGGTGACACGATTCCTTTTTATGCAGCAGCTATTTTATCGGTTGTACTTCCGATTATTTGGGTACGATCAGATTATAGAGTTAACCAAGAAAAAGAAATCTTCTATTTTTTTCTCATTAGATGTGGATAACAGAATTTGCTAAGCGATTTTATTACAATCGATATCCCAAGGAAGTGTTTTTAACACGTTTAGAATGCTGCGGTGGAAGAATAACAACTATCACACCATTTGTGCGTAATTTATATATTCTAACTGGTAAAATTCACTTTTCCTTTTCGAATTGATCTATATTGTTTTCAATATATTTAGTTGTTTTTGGTTATGGCTATCTTTCTACGTGGATTTTAACGGAGATTACCAAGAACTTTGTGGGCGAATTAAGACCACATTTTCTTGCAGTATGTCAGCCAACGATCGACTGTTCAACTCTATCGTTAGATCAGTTTAATTCCTATTTACAATTCGGAATTAATTATACATGTTTAAACAATAATTCTGATCTTGTCCGTGATGCTCGGTAAGTTGCTATATATTATATATAAGAAATATATCCATTTATTTATTTAGTCGATCATTCTTCAGTGGACATACGTCGCCAATCTTTTGTAAGTTTAACTTTTCTTCTCATAGATCAATTCTATTGCAAATCTTCTAGTTGGCTTCGGCTGGTTGATTATGTATATTCATGTGTCATGGTCATGGGGTTATCTTGGCATTATTGGTAATATGTTTCAAACAGGTCTCGCTATACTTGGCTTATTTATTGGCTACTAGCGAGCGTACCCGCTGCAAAATAAGAGATATCTATGTCGAACGTCTGACGTGTTGAAAAGCTGCAGCAAATAGAAAAATCAATAGACTCCAAGTTTGTACGCTGGCGGTCCTAATTTTTCTCGCCGTGCATCGCACAAAACGACAACTTCAAGTATAGCTCTTTATGCAAAAGAGTTACCGAAGCTGATTTCTGCCTCAGAACTTATTCAAATTTCCTCTCTCTCTAATATTCATTCTACACTCCAGCTATTCATTCATCGACCTCTTTCTCACTATCACGTCATTTCATACCTTATATCCTTCGAATTCACTCACCCTCNTTTATGGTCTATCGAAGTGTAGTTTATCAACGAGAAGATTTTGGTGATACTTATTCAGCGTTTCATTCCATTATATTCTATGGTGAATTTGCTTTGGTGCATGTTACAGTATTTTTTGTTTTGATTGATTTCCTCTATCATAAACTCAAAAGTCGTCAATCATTATTTTCGAATAAAGGTGAATGGGTGAACCTTCTCGATGTCGAGTTTACTTTCATGGCGTTCAATTTAATTAAATTGATTCCGATACTCTCGGTGAATAGTTTCAATTTTATTCTAACGGAGATTTCTATCTGTACGCCAATCTTTTTAAAATATTCTCGATCAGTTCAAGCAGTCACTTTCACTCTACTTACCTTAATAATATCTATTCAAGTGATTATCGTCCTTGCCTTACTTCTTCTTATCAATCTAGTTAAAGTCTACCAGGTATCTTTTGTTGGCGAAACGCGAAATCCATTACTATGGTCACAAAACCAATGGTTATTGTTTATCGGTTTTGCCGCGAATATTATCAATATAACGGATACGCCGACTATTAGTCAGTTGTCATTCATGTGGACATTAATGAATAAAACTTGGTCACATGACACAAATATGTGGTTTATGGATAAACTCGGAAGCAAACGAAAGATTCATATCGTAAATCAACTGTATGAAAGACTTGGATTTTTGAAAGCTTTTCTTTGGCTACGAACAATGTCAGCTATTGATTTACACTGTATTGTACGTTTACCTCCACCACTCGAAGAGTCTTCTTCTCACATGTAATTAGTATATACGTATTCAATCAACTTCTGACAATAAGTGTTTTTTTTCTCTTTTGAATCAAAATTTAAACAAATACCAAAAGACGTTCATTTTTTTCTGAAGATTTTAATAAAAGAAAAGAGAAAGCTAGATGCATATGTCCATCATTCTGCACGCTCAAATACTTGTTCGAAATCTTGAGATATATCTTACGGTTTTTCAACACGAATCGAAACTTGCAGAAGACAAAAACTGACAGCTTAATTGTACGAATGAATCCAGTCCAGTCGACCAGGCTTTCTACTTCATCTAAACTGGTTGCAAGCGCGCAGAGAGGCAATGATTGAGCGAACGATTTGGCTGGCAGTTCGTTTTGTAGTCCAAAGCTGAATATTGCAGGAAGAAGACGAAGATAACGAGCAGCTAACGAGTAACCAGAATATGACTCTAAACTAGAATGATGAGCTTTCATCATTTTGTAATCATTGACGAATAATCAAAGCTGTTTGACATTGTCGACGAACTCGAAGAGAAAAGGTGCTCATTGCTCTCAATAAAAGTCACGCTTCCAGATTCCTGATAACCGCTCCATTATTTGCACGCTCGTCGAGGAAGGAATGAACGATAAGAACATCTCCAACTGAACCGCAGTGTCCTGCGAGATATTTAGTTGATAAGTACATATGGTCACGTGTGCTCCAAATTTAAATGGACGGAAACCGAATGGTGACGACAGGGACGATATCAGACATGGGATCGGATCCGAGTACGGGATTGATCGACCTGGGGATTTCAGGAATGCTCTTCAAAGGAAATATTCGACACGGTATCATTAGCAATCGCGGTGCCGTATTTGCTTTTTTAAAGCGTTTGGATGAGTTTAACACCGAGAGAATTCTTTCAGAAAAGGGCCGACGAATCCGCAGGATTAGCGTTAATTGTTATTTAATATGTAGACACAAGAAAAAACAGAAACGCGGGTTTCGAAAAATAAACAAAGACATTCATCGAATTTTGTAGCGTCATTTATTTCGATTATACGATTGCGATGTTTACTTGAAAAACAAATTGGAGAAAATATGTCGGTCGAATACATTGTAATTTCTTTCTTTTCAAAATTAAAACTACTCGATTAAAACCAACTGGTTGTCACGAGTAGCAATATAAGCGTTACCTGTACTATCGGCCATCTTTTTCTCCCTTATCAAGATAAAATTTTGCTTTTTTAGGCGAACTTTTATAGACTAAACTATTGTTTCAAGAGCCAAATATGATAGTAAGGGAAAGAACCCTTGTTTTGCAATGAATTCACCCAAGTGTATTTTTCGATATTTTCTTCAGGAAACGGAATGTAAGAAATGAAATATGAAGTATATGAGAGAATATGCACATGTGGAATATGATCGGATAGATGTCGCAATCCCATTGTATGGCGATTTATTTTCTGAGTCATGTTCGTCCTTTTCAAGGTGAATCTTATCGTACACACGCATTGCATGTGATAAGAAATGCCACAATATAAACATATGTATTAACGTGTCTTTTCGCCTATTTTGAAATCTGTTTGCCTTCAATTCTATTGCTTTACAGCATGAGTACTCAACCATCGTTCAACATCACGCCAGTTCGTACTGCTGATGATCTTGAAGCTACAATCAGTCTCTTCCATACTTATGTCAAATCACTTGGAGTAGATCTTACATTCCAAGATTTCGAAAACGAGATGGCCACTATGCCTGGAAAATACGTGCCCCCAGCTGGTGAACTTCTTCTTGCTCGCAGTTCTCAAGGAGAACCGATAGGATGTGTAGCTTTACGTGCACTCGGGTCAGTAGGTTCTGGATGTTGTGAGATGAAACGTCTGTACACATTGCCTGACGTTCGAGGTGTAGGTGTCGGCAAAGCGTTGGTACTTGCTATTTTGGAAGTAGCCCGGTGTTTGCAGTATGACGAGATCAAACTAGACACTTTACCAAGCATGAAATCAGCCATTGGATTGTACAAGAAGTTAGGATTTGTGGAAACAGAACCATATTACAACACTCCACTCGAAGGAACAATCTTTCTCACTCTCTCCCTTCGCTAACTAAGACTGGCACTGACTGATGTTACCTATTCTCCCATTTGAACTTCAACATCGGATAGTGGTTATGTTAGCAATCAATAAGAAGAAAAAATGAGTAATACATTTGTTATTTCGTTTTTCCTACGCACTTGCGACGATTCGAATAAATCACTTACATTTTGTGTAAATGTGTGATTCATCTATATGTTGATTCATTCTTTGATGTTTGACAACTGATGGACAAGTAAACATACGATGTGCATCAGTGATCCCAAGTAGACACTGGATAGGATAAAAAGGCACTACATTTGCAGCAATGTTATGATTGCCTTCAGCTGTTTTCTTCATTCATCACGATCAAACTATGCACCATTACGAAGAACCCAACGAAGAAGAAGATCTACTCCATCAACTTCGTATCAATCGTGAGAACAATGGTGATTTAACAGTCACTCATCAGAATAGGATACGATATCCTATTTCAAGACGGTACGGCTGGTCATCGCACAATTGTGATTGTCCAGGACGAAAAACAGGTCTAGTTTTGTATCCATTTGATACAAAGTACAAGAATACTGTGTTACTTGTTTGTGAAAATTGTTATGGTTATCGACCGAATGGTGACACACAACACAATCAATTGTTGCAATGGTACTACAACATCTATGGCAAATCGAAACAATTTCGTTGTGTCTCTGGATTTTCTCAGCGGGCGGATGGGACATTGGGCTTCAATAGTTATTCACAAAACACCACAGGTTACTACACAGACAATATCAATACAATGGGTGATATAGAACAGAGGATTGTGCGAAAAGTGGTTGAAGACCGGCTTGATTCCTATGAAGGGTAACTTTAAAGGATGATAAAGACATTTTCGAATTTCTTCTTTGTTGAACTAACGAATTAACATTGATCTTAATAAAAAAAAAAACTTAAGTATCAACATCTCGTCATCAGAGAAGCATCATTGTAACAATGGAAAAGAGTTAAATTGAGCATAAATTCGTCGAATTGTTAAAATGATTAGACATGGTAAAATTGTGATCAACCAAACAGATAACACAATAATAATCGCATGAAGAAGAAGTACAGTCAACGGACATTACTTCTTGACAAATGATTTCTATCGAAACTAGAATGAATCATTTGCTTTATTCAGTAAAAACAGGGAATTTTTGTTTCTGTCTTTGATGTCGCGGGTATTTTACCAGTTATTGCATGGTGGTGTTTGTTTGCTACAACATATATATTTTACAATTTGTTTTTTCCTTCCTTCGCGTCGTGACGTTTGGCTTTTGCCCTCTTTATCACATTCTTGGTCAACATCTGGTATATATATATTTCATTTCATCTATCGTATAACATCTATTCAGTTGAAAATTCTTCTCGTTTATTTAACATGGCAACTAACGACGACAAAAAAGAAACTTACGATCAGGCATACACACGACAGGAGACATATTTTGCTGAACATTACGGCTGTTCGACTTCACCTTCTTTTTACTTCATTTATTTCAACGATGGAGGCGCGCATTGGTCGGAAATGCCGTGGGGGTGGTATTTGAGTTATCTGAATTTAGAAAAAGGTGATCCAAAACAATGTGGTCAATTTCTTATGGGCGGTATTGCTATCTGTATGAAGTGTTATAAAGAAAAAGCAGATGAGATCATCAAGAAATGTCGCGAATTCAATGCGGAAATGAGGGAAAATCATCACGAAAAACTTGAAGAGATCAAGCAAAATGGATTAAAAATTGGAATTATCACATATAGATAATATCTGTGCCCAATTATGTTTTTCTTTTCTCTATAGTCTCGATTCGTAACGTCACATTCAGTTTTTCCGAAATACTCGGTTATCGTTTTTTATTTTTTCAATGATTTCTATCTATTATGAACAAATAAAAACACTGAAATAGACCAAATATGTGGGCTTCTGTTTGAGTGAAAAGAATGAAACTAGAACAATTCAATTCTCAAACGACTGATTAGATATATCTAAGCTGTCCATAATTTACGAAAGTGTCCAACTATATTTTAAATGCTTGCAATATTGAAATAGCTGCCATTTTCCCTGGAAAACATTAATTTCTCCGGTGAGCCTCAATGTTTCAAATACATTTCAGATCTTTGCTATAATTTCTATGCTAATTGCGTTCCGACAGATTTGTTATGATGTACTATTTGTCTTGCATAGGACAGAAAGTTGAGAGAGTAATATATAAAAACAGCAACAACAATTCACTTAACGTTGTTGAAATCGTAGGTTGATAAGAGTAATGATTGTCTTAGTAGAAAAATGTTTTATATACTTGTGATACACAAGAAGGCAAAAAACGACAGAAAAAAGAAGATTCATCAATGTTTTGCCTCAGTTTAGCACCTCAAAAGTGCCTTCATTTATTAATTTGACAGTATATACAGTAATGACGATGTTGCGTTCAATTCTCACGATCATGGTATTGATGGTTGCTAAAATCCACTGTACGACAAAAATTGGTCGTATGAATAATATGGCACATATCTCTAACATTGCCACTACAAGTATCGCGTACAATCAAACGTGTTCTGAATGCATCTGTAAAGCATTTTTTTCTGCCACACAATCATTGTATGTGGCATTGAACTGCTACACAAGTAACAGGACATGTCGATTAATTGCAAATTATTCGTCGGCATGGACAATGCAAGCAGATGTCAGTTCAACATTTATTTTTATTCAACCACCACCATTACAAAGCACTAGCACAAGTAAATGGGCAACTTCTACTAATTTGTATTCAATTTTATTTTATAGCCACTTCGACTACAAGTTCCACGTCGACCTCCACAACAACAAAAAACAGTAAGTAATCACGTACTAATCAATACTAAGTAGTGGTATTTATTTATAGCACAATACAACATAACATATTCACCGCAAGTGCTTTACACGACTAGCTCAGGCCCATGGAGTCTTGCAGTAAATGATGTCAACAATGATTCTCGTCCAGACATTATCGTTGCCAATATTGATAGTAACAAAATTCGTATCTTTTTCAATGCAGGTAATGGTACGTTTCCCACGAAAGCAGTTTATACAACAGGTACGAGTCCTTGGAGCGTAGTTGTGGCTGACATCAACGCTGATACAAAGCCGGACATAATTTACTCCAATACGGGTGGCAACAGTATTGGTTTTCTCCTCAGCAAAGGTAACGGGACCTTTGCTGCAGAAACAACTTATGCAACTGGTTCGAATCCGCGTGGAGTGCAAGTCATAGACGTTAACAGTGATAAAAAACCAGACATCATTGTCACGAACTTCTACGACAATAACGTTGGAATTTTTCTTAACAAAGGTAACGGCACCTTTGCCACACAAAAAACCTATCCTACAGGAAACTATCCGTACGGATTGGCCGTGTTTGATCTTAATGCTGACAACCAGCCGGATATTGTTACCACGTATTACTATAACTACAGTATAGGTGTGCTGATCAATCAAAACAACGGATCATTTCCCACGCAAACAGTATACCGTACTGGCACGAACCCACGCGACGTAAAGATTGCTGATATCAATCTTGACGGTCGACCGGATATCATTGTCGCAAACAATGGTACTAATACGGTTAGTGTTCTGCTCAACATTGGTAATGGTACATTTGCAGTACAAAAAACCTTTGCAACTGGTACTTACCCATTTAGTGTCGAGGTCTTCGATATGAACGGTGATAATAGACTCGATATTATAATTCCAAACAGTGGCGATGACACTGTAGGGATTCTTCGTAACCTAGATAACGCAACATTCGCTGTACAAACTATTTTCGCGACAGGTGGTAATCCACATGTGGCAAAAGTTGCTGATGTTGATATGGACAACAAACCGGACATAATTGTCACGAACTATGATGATGATACTATCAGTGTACTTTTATCGTAATGAGATTACAGACAATAAAATACAAAAGTTTGTGTCAATGTTTGTATCCATTTTTATACACAGCTGAAACTGTATCCATCAACCAATTCTTTCCCAATGTCGGTTTTGCAAAATCAAAGAATAAAGCAATGATAGATTATTTCTGCTGACTGTTAAAGAATAAAACATGTATTCTTTCGTAAGCTCTACTTCTAAATCAATCGAATTCGATAATCGGCAAAAAAGGCCCAAACAAAAGCGCATAGAGAAAGAATGAAAATCGCTGCATAAGAGCATAGTTTATGCCAGGACGAAACGTGTTCAAACTGGATTGAGGATACACTTAATCGACTACTGCGCCTATCATACGAATGATTGTCGGAGCAGATTGATTGTCCGTCGAGATTATCAGTTTTTTCCAAGCCACAAATCCAAGCGAAAGCAGTTTTGAAATAAAAAGCAAAACCGGTCGAATCGTCTAAAAGTAAAGAACAATACAGATAGTTTTAGTTTCAAAGAATATCCGTACGTGTATCGAAAAAGTGCAGAGCTTTTTTCTCCGTCTCAGTTGGAAGCTTTTCGAGATGATTCGAAGATTGTTCGATAACATCGTCGGTATTCGCCTTGTGCATACAGCCAGACTTAGTCGGAATTTCCACTGGTCTTTCCGGATTATCGAGATCAAAAGCAGTCAAACCAGCTATCTAAATACACCAGAGGAAGTTAACGCATTTTATCGTGCATATGAATGGTTATTTTACATATTTTTCTGCTAGAGGTTTCGTCAGAAGACTGACAACAATGGTGACAATTGCAGAAATGACAAAAAGAAGAACTGAGAAGTATAGAAAGTTAAATCGAACTAACGATGGACGTTGATCTAAATGTTCGAGTTGACAGGGCATTGCAGTGTAAGAATATTCCCAAATGAATCGAATGATTCCAATAACTAAACCAGATATCAAGCCCCAAAATGCTCCCTACAAACTAAGATTATTAGAGAAATAAACAGTAAGTGATTACTTCTTCGTTGATACGTTTCCATAACACTCCGAGCAAATAGCAGGCAGCTACTGGGGGTGCTAAGAATGATTGAACAGCTTGGATATAGTCGAATAATCTTGCACCTTGAGCTGCTCTAATGATTGGAATCCAAAGAATTGATATGCCAACAAGAATCATGACAAATACCCTAAGAAATAGCGTTATTTCTATTCTCGAAGAACGTTGCGGTTCTTTACCTGCCAACAATCATCAATTCCCAATCGTGTGCGTTTCGTCGGAAGCGCTGCCAGATATCAATCGTGAAAATAGTCGAACTTGAATTAAAAATTGAAGTCAGAGACGACATCAAAGCTGCAATCATACAAGCTAATGTTAAACCACGAATCGCTGTAAGAGAAAAAGAAATAGACAAATGTATGTTTCTATTGGAAGAGTTACCATTAGGCATCAACCGAAGTACAAGTAGTGGATAGGCAATATCGTTACAACCATTCCGGCTATTACAAACTTGATAGCACACATCGGGATCGGCACAACCGATTTCATCTAGATTTGCGATCATTGATATAAATATTTATGAGATGGAATAAATGTTCCTACCTGGAAAGAGAATTCTAGCTATCATTCCTATAAAGACAATAATAATCAAGTAAAATCTTGCTTAAGAAATTGAACACTCACCAGGAAATACCATTAAAAATAGCGGTAGAAATTTCAGTAAACCTGCCACAAGGCACCCTGCTCTGGCATGTGAAAGATTTTTTGCTGCCAACGTTCGTTGTACAATGACCTAAATGCACATTTATGCACTCATTTACTATATGGCCTTGTTAGTTTACTTGATCACAACTCCAATACCAAATCGAAGCGACACCATTGCCAAAAAGTATACCAAACCACGGTAGATCAGCATCAAATGGGCGAATCAACGAAATATAATCTTCCTTAGGCACTCCACATTCTGTCGTGTTATGTAATGTCGTTTGTGCGATGGCATACGGAAACAAACTTCGAATTTCTTGCATTCCACCGATCCTGATAAAACCTAGTTTTGAATAATGATTTCACTTTTCCGTGAATTTCATTCTTGCAAACAACAACGTACTGATAATCATGAGAATAAAAGCCGATATGACCATAATGATCGTCTGGATAAAATCCGTCCATATAACTGCTGTTAGACCACCTGAATAGAAACATTTCTGAGTCATTATCAAAAGAGACACGTTTTCCTACTTGCCTCCAACAGTAAAAAATGCTGCAAGAAGAATCAGAGCAATAACCGAAGCGTACAAGTTCCAGTTTAGAGCTTGTTGCAGAAAAATTGCACCGGAATAAAGATCAACCGATATTTTTGTGAAAATCGACAGCATTAATGCCAGACACGTCAAATAAACACGGATACGTTCACCACCATAGCGCATTTTTATGTACTGTGGCATCGTAAATACTTCCGCTTTCATATATATTGGAACAAACAACCAGCCAAGTACCATAAGCCAAAAAACGGCCTATGAATCGAGAAGATATTCTTTCAACGAAACGAACTCTTGCTCGCTTACAGTTATTTCAAAACCTGCAACAGCAATGCCACTTGATGCTCCTGATCCAGTCAGACCGATGAAATGACCGCTGCCTATGTTCGACGCGAACAGGGATGCACCTACCTAGAGGAAGTACTGAGAATAAGAAAATATTTTTCGAATTGATCTCACTGGTATAAAATGCATCGAACGACCAGCGAGAAAATAACCACCTAAGTTTTAAAAAAATGCTACAATTATTTACAAAACAAAATCGAAATTCTTCTTACCGACACTTCCACGATTTTTGCATGAGCTCTAGAACGGAATCAGTTAGTTAGACAATCTATTCTTTCAATCTCCCATACCCAAACTCCAAACCCAAGAATAAGTAAGAAGTAGAGTAATAAAACCAAAATATCCGACCAATGAAGTGCGGTTCCAACAATAGCGGCCATACTCTCTGTTTGATGTTTATACTATGTGTACCTTCGATGATTTGTCCTTATTATTCACATTATATAAAGATCAAACATAATGACATTTGCTTTACCTTGAATTCGTTCGAACATGGTGTTTGTCGTTTAAAAGTTATGGCATAGAACTCGAAAGAACAAATGTAAAGACCGACATTTTTCTTTGAGATATGTGATAAATGTTATTTTATAATGGAATCCATGGACAACCAATTTCTAGTTAATACTATTCGGAACAAAATTCATTTCTGCGAACTGACTTCGCAGCGGACAGTCACAGCTGCTTTCTTGACAGACAGGTTCCAAACTATCATATGTTTCTTTGCTTTAATCACCAAACAAAGAACCAACTACTATGCATCATTGTCAATAACAAGAGAATCCAAAAAAAGTACAGAAGATTTTTTCTTTAACAACATTGAGATGTCAAAAATGCTCAGCCCTTCTGCCACTGGTAAAAAAACAACAGATTATTCGATTGCTACTATTTTCCTCTTTTTCATATAAATTTTATTCAAATTTTCTTAGTATGGCCAAAAACATATCATCAGAGATGTCCTCATGAACATCATTATTTTCATGATCAGAAGAATAAATGCCGATTTCTGTGTAGCATGAATAGTCGCATAGAAAGTTGATGGTAAATGGATACTTCTTGAGCTTTCTGCCATAGTTTTTCAACCAATACGATCGTCGTACAGATGGAAACGATGTCAAACAGCACAACTTCATGTTTGATAATGTTGACAACGCTAGTAGGATTTGAAATAAACTGGTCGTATCGAGAACATCGCATGTAAATTCTTCGATATTTGTGAACATCTTACAAATTATCTTTAACTCATGATGTTTAATCAACTGCGTGCCATGTATCCCAACAATGTTCAATTTTCTAATGATTTTCTTAAGTAATTCCCGTAATTTCTCGTTGTCAAATAATACAGCCAATAAATTCCTATGGATTTTAATCGAGACTAATTTCGACGTTTCTGTTGCTAATCGTGATAAGACATTCCGTGCCTTGTGTTCATCCAATGACGAAACATCGACATGAGTTGTTCGTGTCAGATATTGCACAGATTTTCCTAGATATTCATCATTTTGTTCATCGAAAAGACTTTCGAACTTGATCGACTTCACATTCGGAAATTGATGTCCGTCGAAGTTAACCACTTGTTCTAAGTACAATGTTAAATCAGTCACTTTTCCATACCGATTCGCAGCTTTCTGGCAAGTTGATTGTAATGTGTATCTTGTAAATGCGTACGGCATGGAATAAATCGATGTTTGATTGCCATATGATTCGCAGACGATGCACCAATTATGCTGGTGACGCCAAAAATCGCTTTGGAATTGCTCGAATGTGCCATCAATTGTGAGGTCGTCATCATCAATATAGGTAACAAGAAATCGAAAGTTGAATCTGCGCAAACACGGAAGTGAAGAAGTGATCAATTGCTGCCAGCGATCAGCATTGATTATGTCGAAATTGTCGATTGTTGAAATCGTTAAACTCTGTAAATTTTTACTTTGATTCAATAAGGCTTCTAACTCGTCAAATTCACCCTCGAAAATGTTTATTTGGAGTTGTTTTAAATGAATAACCGATCCGTCGATGACAAATGGTTTGATTGTTGCATCATCTTCGTCATCATCGTCCTCTCTGAAAATGACGTTAATTTCCAGACTCTCTAATTTTGGTATATAGGTGAAGAAACGAGATAAATCTTTCAAAGAACAATATGATATCGTTAGATTGATAATTGAAGGAAATTGAAGAATAAAAACTAGATCTGATGGGATCGTTGATATTGATAACGTGTGAATTGTGTCGATCGATAATGAGGTGAATATTGTATTGTATTCTTCCGACCAGTTTGTGAAGTAATAAAAAGGCGGGTAAGGGAACTTGGTTAAACGTAAAATTTCTTTACCATCGTTATCTTGCTCGATTTTACTCAGATGTAATGTCTGAAGACTAGAGAATGGCTCGAGAGGAAGCACGGATAGAAAGGTTTGTATTTGATACCAGACGTTTCTATTCGACAAGTCTAATGAAACAATATGAGTTCGAATTGTCGAATCCAGAAGGAGAATTTCGTAGAATTTTTCGAATATTGCCGCATCAAAATATTGAAAATTGAGATGCAATGGAATATTGCGAATCAATTGGTTCAAACGAAAGTTCAGATTATTAAAACAATCGAATATATCCGGTGCATTGAGATACGCGAAGCATTGCATAAGTATTTCGTTTGGCAAGAAGTCAAATTTCATCACAATGTGCGCTTTACTCATGATGAAAGAGAATAAACTACTTGTGATCAACGCAAATGTATTTTTCTTTCTTTCTTTCTTTCTTCGCGTCAGATCGACGACAGTTGTTCTCTTCCTTTTTTTAATGACTCATTCAGCGAGAAAGATGCACCTTAATTCTCTATTTTAGTCTTCAAATCAACACAAAAGCATAGATAAATATAGCAACAAATGATAACAGTAAAAGAAAAAGAATTTTGAAAGAAGTATGTCGAGGAATGCTTTTCCGCTTGCAAAATATCAATGCTATAAAGAAAACACCCAATATTGTAAATAATTTCGTACTCTTCTTAATACGATGATGCATGTCATGGCCACTTTCGTCAAAGTGTTCATTTTTCACGCGGATTGTCGCTGGAACAGGAGAGGATGTCGATGAAATGGTAGTGGTAGTTGAAGATGAAGTGACTGTTGATAATGTAGTGGTCTGATTTCCTGAAATGAGATAATTCAAAGTCGAGAAGCAATGAGCGAAGTGAAATTTACGTAGTTTTTCTTCTTCAAAGATTTCTCGGCGCATTTCGACTGTTAATTTCTTGATTAATTCAACTATTTTATTTCGCAGCTCGGTAACGGTCGTTCCATTGGTTGGAAACTGATAGATAGCGCGTTTTGTTTCGTTTATTTCTTGTTCTAAATGTATGTGAAGTTCACTTTTTCTTGTCACTAACGCCGGCACTGGAGCTGAAAGAAACAAACAACAATCATAATAAATTCACTCGATGATTAATTTAACATACGTTCAGGTAGTTTATAAGCATGATCAGCAAGTTTCATTATGAAGGATACGATTTCCTGAGACGCGTTTTGTTTCTGACATTCTTGAGCAAGATCAGAAAAGCGTTGGCGCCATGAACGACGAGTATCGGTCGAGAAATTCCCTTTGATTGATTCGAAGTGCACAAATGTCTCGTTGAAATACTGGTCGAGATTTGCTGTCTTTCGATTTCCGTTGCACGACATCTGTAGATGAGTCAAATCAAAGGTATAATTATATGTCAAACTTTCATTAGCTAAACTAAAAAAACACAAAACAAAATCGAAGTTGATTTATCAACAATCGGATTGTTGTACGAACCTTCTTCGCCATGTTTTTCTCAAAGGATAATCTTTAATCGGATGCCACATGTTATTGGGTTGTTGACGTACATCTCTGTAAAAGTACGGTGTTGCATATTCGATAGTATTCAGTTCAGTTGGAACGACAATCGTAAAATTTAATTGCACTGCTAATGTATTGAAGAAAAATTCATGAAATGGTATTTCTCCAAACCATTGAATGTAATTGTCGATAGCTAAAAGCATCCGTTGACTAAATCCAATACCGTTGACCATCGAACATGCCCAAGGTGGAAGGAACTTGCCCGATGCCATTGCCCATCGCCATAAGCCGTCCGCTGCGATCAGGTTGAGTGTATGATGAGGAACGATCAAATCAGTCGTTTTTGAATATAATTCATGTAGTGAGCGAAATACTTGGACGTTTGGAATGAAAACATCTTCTTCTAACAACCAAACAAATGAATAGTTTCGATTGAGCAAACAGAAATAGAGAAGAGATTTGTCCCATGATGTAATATATCGCCAGGTACCTAGAAAACATCACATGGGAAGTCCGGATTAAATATTGATATGTTCAATTGAATCTACACAAGAAGAAAGTCACGTTTGCTTCTATCTCATTATGACAACAAGTGTCCAGTCAACAAATTTAGTATTTGTGATGTGTCATACCTCCAGTATTAATAGCCTTATGGTAATTATGTTGAAGGCATTTCTCTCGTGAAATTTGCAGTAGTCGAATATTTGACGAAACGTTTATGGCGGAAATATTAACGTCATTATTGTCAACCATAATGAATAAATCCACACCGTATTGTTTGGCATCTTCAGCCAACTCTTCTACAAATTCGATTAATTCGACTGCTGGTCGATAGGATAAATAACAAAGTGCTGACTTTTGTATTGCTATATTGATAAATTGCGACAGGAGAAGGAGTTTAAATAAGAGTACAGAAATTGTTATTCTCAAATGAATCATACAGATCTAGGAACATTGAAAAAACTTCAAGTAGTATCCCAAAATAAGCTGAATGATGCGCAAACTACACTTCTTCCCATTCAAAAAAGCACGTTTTTACCGCAGGGCAAAGAAAAAAAATCTACTAATGAGAGCGCAAAAGAATCATTCGTCTGTTTCTTTTTTTTCACTGTTCGTTGTGAAGTTTCTACGACACAAGTCGTCACTACGAAGCGGTGTTTATTCTCCTGTTTGAGCAACAGAACGGAGAATGTGCAAGGATTCCAGCCGTAAAATTTATTATTTGTCCGTTGCATCGCACGTCGACTATTCAACACATGAACAAAGGTGTCGAGTGTTAATATCATCCTCTCGGTAGCATCATGCATTTGACTTCTAGTACACATGTTCTTTTGCGTTCTTCACATTTTCTTTCTTTTCTTTGCATACGTCGCCTATGTTTTCTGTACTCTTTGTTCATCGTGATAGTTAAGCGTTGATGTTTTGCAATAAATATCATTCTTGCTCACTCATTCATTCATTCATCGGACAGAATTAATACTGGACTGATTTTTCAACTTAGACGAAAATCAATCTGTAATGTTGAATTTCGAATTCTTATTTGTCAAAAGAAAAAGAATCAGAATTCATCATAATTTCACCTTATTGATGGAGAAAGAGAACGAATATTTCTATTCTTTTTTTATTCCCTCTACTGACAGGAGGTAGTGCGTCAAGCTGCTAGCACGAAAAAAAAACGAGTTAAGGTTCGTTCGTTCATATTGTCTTCAAATATTACTTAACACTACTGTGCTGTGTTACTCGTTCACACTAAAGCGCAGAACGTGAAATTAACGTTATAATAGTCTTATCTCCTTTTTTTCTTCTGAATTACTAGACCTATATCTTCATTTATTCGCTGCTTTAGCGAATTTCTTAGCAATGAAACAATCCGACAAAGTTAACTTTGTCATTTATTTGTTTTCGTACCAAAGGAATAATCAGTCAGTTTTATATTGCCAAGACCACGTGTCCTAAGAATTACGTCGCCATCTTGAATTTTAAGTCGAGGATCGAAGGCGTCAGGGCTGTAGAAATACTGATCACGGGACATAAGACATAGAGAAAACCGTGACACACTTATTCTCTTTTCGATTACAAATCTAAAGCTCCCATGTATTCGACGTTTAAACTTCAAATGGTACGGTAACATGCTTCAAGATTAATATAAATACTTCCATTGGTTAAACAACGAAACGATGTTATACGGTGCAAATTAAATGATGCGATCAACATGAAAAGACAACTGCTTTTTATCAGACAGGTTCAAGTTACAAATTTTTTGTTGATGTTTGCGTCTTGTTTTTCGTCGCATCTTACATACTTCGAAGAAGTATTAAAAGAGTCCGTTGAGACACAAACAGAGAGTTGTCTATACAAAGTGTAGCAAGAATATGACACGACAGTTTCACACAGCACTAATCGAGCTCTTTTCCGTTACCATGTCAGAATCAGAGCACAAGATTATTAAAAATAGAGAATATTCTCTGTGCATCTCATCAGATGACAAAATCATTCTATCTTCTATAATTCGGCCGAAGTTTTGTTTGGAAGAGACGCAGAGATATAGTGTGATTAGTTGTCTTTCTGACGTACACAGCCCATGGATGAAACTCAGATTAAGTCAATCATTCGTTCGACATATGAAGAACGTCTTGACAAAGCCATCGATTACTACGCATCGAAAATGATCTTCGTCCAAATAATCTTTGCAAGCGCTTTCTCGGCTTCTGAACTTTACTATGGTGTTGAATATCAGGACCAGTGTCCAATCGAACCTATGATGACCACATTTCTTATTCTTCATGGCGCTACCAAATTTGTTTGGGTGTTCCTTACTATTCTCGCTATCGTCGATGCCCGATTGATCGCTCAAGTGATGAACAAGAAGGTTCTGGCTCGTCGACTTATGCTTATAAATCTCATTCTTCAGTCTGTTTTTGCTGCATGGTTTGCTATTTGGTTCATTGCTGGAAACTTTTGGGTATTTCGTACCAAAGATCAGTATCAATCAACCAATACAACAGCTACCACTACATATTGTAATGAAGAAGTGTATCAGGCAGCATTCTTACTGATTATTATGACCTATGTTATCAGTGGTATCACTACCATAGGAACAATCAAACGTCGTGTTATTAGTAAGAAGATTAGACACGTAATGAAAAACAAAATCAATCCCGAACATCAGCCGAGGATACAACTTTGAACGGACATTAGAAAAAACTGACTAAACTATTGTATTCTTACCCGTTCTTAAACACGCCTGCTTCTTGACCTAACAAGTTGCTATTTCTGTCATAATGATGTATTTCACAATATATCTTTGTTTCTCGTCATTAAATTAAGCAGACGTCATATGCAGAAGAAAAGATTCAAAGATTCACCGAACGAGTTGTGTTTTCATCACATATTTATTTTATTTTATGTTCATATTCCTTATATCACGCTTTCTATGATATCGAGCAACGTTATAAACGATTGATTCCCTCACTATGTCAGAAAGGAACGTTCTTTTCACTTCGACATGCATCAGACGCACATATTGGTTTATTATGGCAAGATGATCAGAAATCTCCAATCATTTTTAGTTCTGTACGAGGTACCAACACACAGCATCTTGCGTTTATTTAAATGCAATATGTTCAAAACTGAAAAATTTGGAAATGCACAGTATATATGTATTTGATTAGCTGCTGAATCAATGATCAGACTGAGCGTACTATGAAATTCATAATTGCAAAGTATCAACGAGGAAGTGACACATTTTTTTTAAATATCACGAAATAGTTTAAATATTTTCTACCTTCATGTTCGATATATACCAATTGAAGACAAAATATAAACAAGTGATGTGATGATACGCGCTCACCTGACATTCGGAACGTCATCGGTTTGATAATGATTCATGGAGTATACACTTATACTACACTATAAATACATTTCGTTGTTTGCAATCACTTTCGTTTTTTTTTGCGGAAAAGCAGAACTTATGTTGGGATCATTCGCTGCGGGAAAGACTGTGAATATATACGGCCGTCCGCGTGAGTTTAAATTTCTTTCCTCACCAAGTCAACTGTCGTACATGTATATCCTTATTTCTCATTTACAGGATGCTGCCGAAGCACACAATTTAATTCTGACTTTCCTCCCGCGTTAGCTGGAATTATTCGCCCGAATGAATTCTTTCAATCAATCAACAATATCAACTACGCACGCAAACGAACTTTCATCGAAAAGATTATCACGTTTCTGTTTATAATGGTCCACCGGCTTGGAGCTGCGCTATTGATTGCAGGTATAATATTAACGTCAAAAGCGATTCTGCCAGCGGGAATTGCATTACTTGCAAGCGGTGGTGCGATTACTGTGGTTTTTCTGTGTATTAGTTTGTGCGTATTCAAATGCATGAGTATGGCACGAATACGCCGGGTGAAACGAGCTGTCGATGCGGAATCAGTGAAATATGTATCAAGACAGCCTGTTCCTACTAAATGGCAACTAGGTTCATACAATTATGTAGATAATAGCGGAGACACTTCATCAGTCTATACGGTTTACTATGTAAGTATCTTTTTACTGTTAATACCACTCATACATATTGGTACTATGTTGACGTTAGGAAGGAAAATATAGAAACTAGAACGAATTCTTTTACTTTAGATAGAGATTCACATTGGTGCACCAATTCAACCCGTACATCGAGGAGGCACATTAAAATCAAACTAGAATATACACGAACTAGCATCGTACATTCCTCAGCCTCATCGAGGTTTTCCCACGACGAATTCTCTTGCGTAAAAACTTAAAAGAGATTCTGACATCGCATTTTTCATCGACACAATTCAGGAACAATTAATTTTCTGATAATAAATATAAAGTATACACTTTGAGCGTGTACTTGGTATTCTCCAGTCCAAATGACAAGAAAAAGCGAACATGAAAGAGTAGATGATGAGATTTGTGAAGTACTATTTTGCATGACGATTTAATGTTTGTGTCATCAGTGTCGACGTTGAACTACATATCCGGAGAGAAACTATCTAAGGCCAATAAAATCAATACTCAACGTATGTTTATCTATGATTCGATTTAGAAAAGTAGAACGATGGGAATTGGAACATTTCATCTTATACGCTGATATCGTACAACACTGCCTGGTCATTTTTTCGTTAGTCTATATAAATAAAATTATGTTGCTTTTGACTTTTTCTACTGTTCCTGTATCGAAAATATTGACTTTGTTTACCATAGCACTTACGAAATTACCTTTAATTATTCTCAAGGCATGCATTCAGAAGATCAACGTAGCCATAAGTCATGTAATTATGCTTGCTCCAACCTCTGATTAAAATCACACTTAAACAAGCAAAATATTTCGCAATATCGGTAGTTTCGAACTATATAAATGCTTATTTATGAATACTTTATATGCATTGTTTCATACGTTTTAGGTCTAGGTGGTGCATGTAGTGATTCTTTACTTCACATACAAGTGTTTTGATACCGCAGCAGAAAAGTGAACTTTATTTATCGTGCTATATGTAGTGTTGTCGAAGCAGAAGATTCGCTTCGCATTTCCCTTCGGAATTGACTGGGACTATGCGTCAAGAGGAATTTTGTCAGCCAATCGATAATATCAATGATGCACTTAGACGAAGTTTAGCTGAAAAATTCATGACTTTATTTTTTTCCATTATTTCATTGGTTGGACTTGCGGTATCCATAGTTGGTTTAATATCAATAAAGTTTGCAAGTTTTACGGTATTCACTGTGCTAATTGTAGTTGGTAATGCCATGGAATCTTTTACGCTTATTTTTGGTGGAATTATATTGAGGTGGGCAGCTGGTCGACGCGCACGCTGACTTAACGAAACAGTTGATGCAGAGTCGATGAAATACCTTAGAAAATATCCCGTACCGACTAGATGGCAAATAGCCACACGGGCTTATAGGACTCCTTTCGTTATGGGTCGTCCATCTATCAAAACATATTTCTGTGTTAGTTATTTTACCTTTATCAATTTGAATTTTTGTGTTTTAGTCAAATACCTGTATATTAATTTCTTTTTGTTCTATAGTTACAAATTGAGATTGGTCAAGCAATGCACATAAATCAGAGTGGAAATTACTTGATGAACGTTTTTCAATGACAACCGTTAATATTCACTCGAAAGTATAACTGTATTATAACAGAATTCCAATTTTTTTCTCGCGATTATTTTTCTTAAAAACTTTCCTTTCTATCGAAGACAATTCATGAGCAATTGATCGTATATGTCTTTATTTTTCTCCTAGGCGTGTCCCGCTGTTTTGTTCTCGAAATAAACACGAGCTGCCTGCTTTTCAAACTTATTTCAACTATAGATTTGATATCAGTTGATATAAGATTAAGTTGTGTGATGAGAATGACACATAAAGAGCAAACTATAGATAAATAGATTCTTTTCGTTTCTGTGCAAATATACAGCACAGAGAGAGAAATACTTAAGGAACAAATAACATCAGTATATATAGACAAACGAATGATGTTATTTCTAACACGTCACTTCGAATGGTAGAACGATCTTTATTCGTCCTAGTGTTCTATTTATTATTGTACACCATCAGTGCTGATATTGAATTACAGACACGACAAGGAATTATTTATGGTCGACAAACTCAGCATTCCAATGAATTTCTAGGGTGAGATACAAACATCGGATCTGATTTATATAAAATTTCATGTGTTTCGATTAGAATTCAATATGCAAGAGCAGAACGATGGAAACGACCAGTCGATCTTGCATCTGGAAAATTTCCGAATGATTCACTTCAAGCAAACTCATTTGGTCCATGTTGTCCTCAATCGAATGCAGGAATATTTATACCTGCACAGGACGAACAATGTTTATATCTGAACATTTATACACCATTGAGCATAACAAATAACTCCCTGTTACCAGTTCTTGTTTGGATTCATGGTGGTGGTCTTCAAGTTGGATGTTCATCCCAGAACATTCCAGTTCTATATAATGGCTCAAATATTATTGCTAATGTACCTGAGAAACAACCAGTTATTGTCGTAACAATCAACTATAGGCTAGGCATGTTTGGTGATCTGTATTTGAAGGATTTAGTTGAAGAAGATCCAAAAGGATGGCCAACAGCGGGAAATTATTTCTACCTTGATATGTTATCCGCTTTACGTTGGGTGAATGCGAATATTCGTGATTATGGTGGCAATCCGGAGAATGTTTTATTGTTTGGAGAAAGTTCTGGAGCAAATGCTGTTATCGATATCGGTGCATTGAAAGGATCAGCAAATCTTTATCAGCATGTGATATCGCAATCAGGTGGCGCGGGATTTTTTGGATATTACACCAACACGAGTGATGCTTTGATCGAATCGAATAAAATCATTCAAAAAGTCAATTGCACTAATCAAAGAAGCCTTTTACAGTGCTTACGCAATTTGTCGACAGCTGATCTCATAACATCATACGGTTTTCGACAAACCAAAGTAGTTGTTGACAAGTATTTTCTCGAGTATTATCCGCCAGTGGCAATCCATGAAGGCATATACAATCCAAATATTAGTATGACTATCGGTCGAAATGAATATGAATCCCCGATGTGTTTCACCAATCCTGACATGAACTTGACGTCAGTGAAAGAAATGCTCATTCAAGCTTCCGGAGAAAAATGGGCTGAAGTGTTTATTCAAGATCCCGAGTTCAAGAATTGTTCACCGGATCGAAATGCGACCAATCGATGCTGTGAAGCAGCACGTTCATTCTTTAGTCACTTCATTCTTGATTGTAGTGCTCGTCGTATACAAGACGCTTTATTTAAGCGCAATTTTCAAGAAAACTTATTTTTGTATCATATGGATTGTAATCCTGGATTATGTCCGGTGAAGTCTGAAGCAGAGGGCAAAGGTCTTTGTTTCCATGCATCAGAGTTACCGTTCGTATTCGGAACAGTAAGCGATATGTATTCGAATGAATTGATGAACTGTACATGGGATAATGAAACACGAGTATTTTCAAATCGGATTATATCACATTGGATTAGTACAGCCATAGTTGGGAAACCGTTGAGTGATTGGTTGAATTACAGTCCGTCAACGCCGCGATACTATCAGATCACACCATTTCATCCGTTCTCAACTCTTACAACAGATCGTAATTGTTCACTTATCGATCAATTCGAAGAAGAGAAAATCGAACTCATGTTTGGTAATTCGAAAAACAAGAGTTTTCGCAATTACGCAAATCGAAGTTTCATCGTACTATTGATTTTATTCTTTGCTATATTTTAAACAAACTAACGTGATGTTGTTTTCTTTTCTTTTCTTTTCGATCTCATCAATCATTATTTGAGATGAGACTTGTGAGCGAAACAAATTTTATCCAGATTAAATACAAAAAAAACACAAATAAGGTCAACGTAAATGTTCACTTCTTGGCTGTGCGATCGAGTTCTGTTTCAATATTCTCGCTTCTGACTGTTTCGCTCGTTGACACGAAATGACTATAAATCGTTTATTTTCAAGTTCAAATCGAATATAATTGTCGGTATTTTCACTATTTGATATTCCATCAATTAGCTGCGCTAAATGTTGTATATTTTCTATTTTCGTACCATTTACACGTGTCAGCGCGCAATTTGCAACATCCGACGAAATTCCATGATTGACATCGTCGACAAGGATTTGATTGATAATCACAATCTGCTGGTTAAGTTCTTCGCGTTGACTATTCAACGCAAGATTAACCAAATTGGTTGGAGCTCTGCGGTGCCAATCACGCCGACTGAACTCATAGAGATAAAATCGACTTAAAATTGTAAAGACAATTCCCGCATAGATCAAATATTCGGGATGTTTGTCGTGTAAATGAAGTGGAACAAGTGTTGGATTATTGTCCAACAAGCTCGTCAATGTCAATTCTTTACCTTGTCGGATAATTTTCAATGTGATCGTATCGTCGACAAATTTGAGTTTTTCGAGATAACGAAAATTAAGTCTTTCGCCGCGACGAAAGTAAATCGTTCCGTCGTCAGCTATTGGTACGTTATCAATAGCTGTAATTACATCGTCTTCTTGTAATACTTCACTAAGAACACAGACTTTTTCAATCGATGTCACTAGAATACCATGTTGATCTTCGTTTAATTTCAAATATTCACGATAGGATGTATTCTCCATAGGTTGGTAATAAAATCTCATGATGGGAAATGCGGTGTATTTCTTGTGTAATTCAATATCATTCAAAACATGTTGGATCACCATAACAGGCACGATATATCCAATCGATTGCGCTAATGATTGACCTTGAAAAGACATGCCAACAACATGTTTACCTTGGATCGCTGGTCCACCGCTGTTACCTGGATTGATCGCTGCATCGATTTGTATCGTTAATAGGTATTCAAGTGAATGCGAGTAAGTTGACATAACCACTCTTGAGACCACACCTTTAGTAACCGATAAATTATCACCACCTATGGGATATCCAACAACTGTTATTGATTCTTGTAACCGAGGAATGATATCGCTGAACGATAACGGTTCTAATCCATGCCAAAATTGATCGTCAGCAACTGTCATAATGACGAGATCACATTCATGTGCTATGTAGACAATGTGAGCAGAATATTTCTTGGCATCACCATGTTTTCGAATACGAATACTGGACGCATTTGAAACTGCATGAGCATTGGACAGAATCCAGCGATTTTTTATTACAAAACCTGATGCAGTATGAGGTGTTTGGCGTTTCATTTGCCTAGATAAGAAATTAGCAGTGGGATACATTTTCTTTTGAATTATAGTTTTGATTTATCTTACCATGGTAAATAAAAATTGCACGGAGTTGAGGTACAAAACACTTTGACAACACTATTCAATACTAATTCTAATGATTCGATGGCATCAGGATCGGTTTCTGTTTTCAGTAAAGAATCGACAGTTTTGGCTGTTGATTGTTGTTTTGTTAAGATTGGTAGTTGCCGAGCGTCTCCTTCTTCTCCAGTAGCTAGATCGAGTTGATCTCTGACTGCCGGTACCAAATCATCCACTGATGAAACTGGATCTTCTTCGATTTGAACACTGTCTTCCATAAAGTTGCTCTGAAAAGGAAAAATTGTTCGACGACTGCGGAGAAAAATTTGCCTTCATAAATTACATCAACAAGTTGAATGGGAAAAAAACAGAGAAAGAATAGAAATTCATGCAGAAAATTTTCGTTTTTACCCCAAATTCATACATTCTGTGAGTCATTATTCCAGCCAATCGTGTTTAAAGCGCTAACCTCTATAGAACAGCAACATTCGATCTTATTCAGTCATTCCTTTCATCGGTCTGTACTATTCATCGTCATGTCTCACGGTATTTTATAAATTTCAACTGATTGTAATAAAGAGGTCGCTAGATCCAATTATCTGACATCTAAATCAGTTACAGACATCAGAGGATATTATCGCAGTCATTTTCTCATAAAAAGTATACCAGCGTGGATGAAAGAACATAATTGGAATGCGAATATCTTGAGATGCATAAGATCCTCATCCACCCTTAAGCTGTGAATCAGTGTTAACACATAGGGCGTTGCCTACAAATATTCATATGCTTAATTGCTGGGCAATTTTGTTGCTAAGAAAAAATCAAATTAAACGTTGCATGATTGATTGCAAACACTAAAAGAAACATTAATTTGTACATGTTATTGATTCATCTTTTCATTTCTTTTCCGCAGTTCCGGACCACTTCGGTCAGGAAAAAGTGCGATGACTCACGTCAATGTCCTTTCTACATTTATGTCAACACACGAATTTATTTTCGCCTGCTAAATAAACTATTTACATCTATATATTTGCTCTACATCTACACGAAGCAGCAATATAACGACTAATGTTATCTGCATTACTTGTCGTAGTGCTCATTCCGATTGCTCAGACTTTCATCCCGGACTCATCTTTATTCGATGCTTATGGTCTCAAACTTGCTGCAAATGATGCTCTTCTAGTTGAAGCTATTAATGCGAATTCTGCATTTATTCTACGTTTCTCTCCTTTCGATTATTCTTTGACTTGCACAATAGCTTACAATGATTCAAATCAATATATCTACGCTGTAGCACTTCAATCGCAAACTACATCTAACGATAGTACTCGTTTTGTGTTCATTGGCGTAAATGAAGAAACAGATGTGCCATTTATCGGCTCGTTAACGTACACGGGCGTGTCAGTAACGACATACATAGCAGCGGCAGGCAATTCGACACGTCGAGGGAAATTCCCCTGTACGGGATGGCAAAAAAGTAATTACCGTATTCATTCTTTGATGGATCTTGCTAATGATCTTGAACAAACTGATACAAATAGTTTTTTCGTTGTCACTGTGGCGTAAGCATTCGCTTTAACCGGCTCGCGTTTAATCTTTTTGTATATTTAGGTCAGATGGTAGATACGCCTATGCATTTACAAATACTTTTCTGATTATTTATGATCTCGATCAGGATATTATTAGCACTCAACTTGGCAATATCACCTGGCTAGATACATCGTTCCTTCCACGAGCTGTTGACATCAGCCAGAATTCGCTTATCATTGTTCTTGGGTATATTGGAAGTTCCGATACGAAATATACACCGTGTGCGTATTTACTGAATGTAATCAATTTGATTTTGACTGTTATGGACGCATGGACATATACACCAGCAACAAATACATCATGGCAAGCTAGTCTGACAAATTGGGATGCTGATATCTATGCGTCGAAATACGATTTATCTGTCAGTTGGGGCGCAGCTGGCGATAGAGTTCTCTTCGGCCTTCAAATCATGAATACGATTGTATTAGTTAGCGTCAATCAAGTAAATCAAAACTTTGATTCAGCATATCAAACATTATCAAATGGAAAAGCGGTTGGAATGGGCAAAGCAGTTGGTTGGCTCGATTTCGACTTAATTATAGTACTCGTAAATACATATTCGTTCAATTATATTTGGTCATCTTCACAAGTCATCGTGTATAACGTCAGTAATAACATTACTTTCACTGTTCTATCGATTTTCCCCAATATTCAACAAACTCTATCAGATACATTTGGTCCCATTATTCTCTCATTCGCTATAACTCAAAATGGAACAGTTGCTCTATTGGATTCTCTAGGCAATTATTACATTCTTTTGCCTTCGTCGGCTGGTTCATTTTCTGACACCAGCTCAGGAACATGTTCATCACAAACAGCATGTATTGCTGGTACATTCGCTTCAGAATTCGGCATTTCACCATGTTCGCTCTGCCCATCCGGCACTACAACAAATGGTCTCACCAGCCAATCGTCGTGTGTGTCGTGCAGTAACGATAGTTTCTGTTCATTAGGTGCAGCGTTTGGAGATATTAGTACGTCGTCGGCTCTTCTGACGAACATCAATCAAGCACGTGCTTATCCTGTCTCTCCGCAATCGATTCGTTTCGATAATATTCTCATCGAAAACATGTTTGCCATTAATTCGGAATCATCGAATTGTTTAGTTCATTCTCCACTTTTCTGGGCATTGATCGTCGTTGCCGTGGGTTTGTTTGTTTGGATTCTTATGTTCATTTTCGAGCGATACGTTAAGAATCCACTAGGTAAGAAGACGCATAAGCAAATGAAACGGTTTTTTAAGAAAACAGATCTGATTGGCGAGGGAGAAATGGTCATCGGTGGTTTATTTAGTTTTGCTATAATTGTTCTTGTTGTATTTGCATACACATTCAGTACTCTCTATTTTCAACGTTATCCTATCGAACAGGTCTACGAAGGTGCTTCTTTTGCCTGCGATGAATCATTGACAAACGCACAATTCAGCTCAGGTCTAATGCCTATTGGTATTCCACCGGATGATATTGAACAGCCAATCTTCACCTTACTCGATGCTCAACCATTAATCTTATCTATCGACTTTGTGAATACGGTCTTCAACTGCACTGATATGACTGTTTCACAAATTAAAGATGTTAGCTTACAAATGACACTCTCATCTTGTAATGATAGTGCAAGTACCATGTCTTTATCGCTGGCTTTACCATCTCATGATATTAACCTTCAGATTGCACTCACTGGTACGAACACGATCGGTGCTTTTCGTCTTAGTATTCAAGGGCCTGGCTCGGAGTTGATGAATACCACGTTTTCGACTTCATACACACTTCAGGATTTAGTATTTTCGCAGGCATTATCTTACAATGGCCGATTGCTAGCACAACAGGCGTCGTGTACATTACAACTTACAAAAATCATCAATCGCACGTATCCGTTAGAAGAAGATGGCGAAACCAAATTTAGCGGACTTTGGTTACCGACACTTTCGACAAGTGTGGATAATGTGTTTGTTGACGAAAACGAGTATAAATATAGTACAAGCACCAGTACCGTTCTCTCGATTGTTATCAGTGAAACCTCGTCTTATGTACTGAATGTACAAAAACCAATTACAGCTAAACAAGAACTTGTTTTTACTAATCTTCTTTATACAATCGTATGCTTGGAAATCTTTGGCTTGGGTTTTCTAATTTTCAAATTGATCGTCATCCCATTTTTCAAATCGATCATACGCTATTTTCGTCAACGTTGTCGATCGGCGGCGAATCATTCGTCCTTGGACAAACCTACACTGACAGAACTAAACGATATTCATCTATAGTGTACTTTTTCTCTCACGCAGCACCGAGCACGTGAACAAAAATGTGATTAGAATAAATTTTCAGTTCTGATGCCACTCACCTTGAAATTTTCTTTCCTTTCTCAGTACAATTTTTCGTAACGTTCAAATTATACTGGTTACATGTTGTACACCAATCAACCTTCTGCTTATTTTCTTTTCATTCAATGACTATTTGCACGTTATGTTTACTCTTTGTTGCCAGAGATTGCTAGAGATGAATGAGTAGAAGCTACGCAGAATGTTATGCACTGGCATAAACCGAAACGAAACACGGTTTTTATTGTGTATTAAAATTCTTTCATCTTCGAGCTGTGCTTCTTTTTTCCTCTTATTAAGTAAAAAGAAATGATTTTACTCGAAAATCTACAGAATTGTCATTGAGAATGTGTGTTGTGTATTGTTAGGAGAAGGTATATATATATACTTCATAGCTAAGCATATTCATTCATTTCGACAGCGATCAACAGTCTTTCTTTGTTAAACTTTCCGGGCAAAATATAACATGAATTGCATTGGTGTAAGCGCTCTTCTTCTCTTGAGTAAGTACTGCACTGTTCAATAATTGATACTGATTGATATGTTTTCCCTTTTCAAAGTTTTATTACCTATGGCAACAACATTATCCTGCTTCGTTTGTTCCGCTAGTAATGGTAATTGTAACGATCCTTTCACGTCAACCAGCACATCATTGGCTAGTGGAGTGACCGTCTCAAGCAGTTGCAATGCTTGTGTGGTAGGTATAGTCACTAGATTTCTCGATGTATTCTTGAATTTGCTTCTTTTGACAATAGAAAACGGGTACGTCATACGCAATGGCGCGTGCGTGTAGTACATGTCCAGGTGTTAGTATTTTTGTCGCTGGTACCGGTGTAGCTTGCTGTACAGACAGAGATTATTGCAATGGTGCATCGACCTTCTCTAACGCTTCAATCATTCATCTATGTGTAGCAACTTTAGTACTCGCTGTACTTAAAGTTATCTATCATTAATCTGATTTTGTAAAAATATGCGTGTGCATTTCGTTTTTCTTTAATAAACCAGCTGTATACATTTGTAATTGATGTCTTAAATATTCATAGTGAGACAAAACTTAAAAGTTGCTGATGAAGATCTGTAAAATGTAAATCAGATCTCAACTGCGTCATCGAACACATTCTATATTTAACTATACAGGAGAAAAATAAATGAAATAATATTCATATAGTACTAATTCTCTCTTTCGCGATAGAGAGAACGAGAGTGTGCAAATACAATTGCGAATATTTGCGTGTTTGTCAACATGAATGTGAATTTCGTCTGATTGCGCATACCGGTAGATGAATTTTTACATTTGAAATATTTTTATTCTGAATAAGAATTCATATCGGAGCAGAAAGGTGAAACTCTCTTAAAGGCTGTTGTGATTTTAATACATCGATTGGCATATTTTTCGTTATATTTAAATTAGCAAGGACGTTAGCGTAGCGTCGAATTACAAAAAAGATAAACTCATAAGCAATTTGTGATCAATCTTACAGTTCTGTTGCTTCTACCAATACTACGTCTGATCATTTCCTTATTATCTAAATTCGTAGATTTGTCACACTGTTCATGGTTGTATTTTTCTACTTGTTCGATTTCGGTTGTACCGTTAGGACTCACTTTCATCGTACAAATGACAAGATTATCGTCTCGATCTTCCAAATGTCACTAAGAGACAAAGTACTTTCACGTACCACTAGATCAGCAATCTGAAGTCGCCATAGAGGCTTGATCATAGTGATTTCATCGAGACGGATGCATTCTCGTTCCGTTCTGTCTCTATGTAAACTAACCAATAATGATGACGTTGATGCAATAGAAAAGCAATGTGTACACACAAACGGTAAAAATGTCGTACTTTTTCAGTTACAGCAACAAACTGAAGGCCAAGTCATTTAGAAAACATGATTTAACTCATTTGAATAAGAGGATCGAATCAAGTGATAGTAAAACGCAAAACAAAGCCTCTACAATAAGTGCTTCTATGGAATCTCGTCGTTTCAATCGTGAACGACTCAATCTTGAGTCACATCAGTTAGTCTGTTACGACACCTACTATCAACATGCTACTGAGAGAAACTTCACTCTGACAGAGCTACGTCAGATCATTGACTACACTAAATTCTTCGACAATAGTAAATCCTGTAAACGCTATCTAGAAGAAACTCAGCACATTGTGTCCTTCCTCATTTGCTCAGACAATACCAGTGAACAATTGATTCCTGAGGTTTACGAACTACCCAACGTTCGCTTCATCTACATATACTCTCAGCACAAAGAATATGATCAACAGTGGATGAACAAGTACATGAAGGTAAGATTGAAACTGGTCTTCATCGTCACACATGAACATCTTCACTGTAGATCAAACAAGTTTACACTGATCGTAAATCTCTACTTCAGGCAATTGAGAGCGACGTCAAGAAGTATCTAGAAAAGGAAAAGAATGGCCTATTTGGTAACTTCGACAAACAGGACAGAACCACAGAGTCCGGATCTGCTTCATGGTGGGTGACATTCATGGATGCCCTCTGTTATTTACCCTATCCAAAAGAGACGTGCCATCAGCATCTCATTGCTGAATTACGAAACTACTACGCAGACAAAGCCGCAGAGTTACGCACCATCGATGAGTTTGAACACGAATATACTCCCGAGAAAGCGATCTGGTGGTACACACGGGACACCTTCTTTTTCCGTTTGATCAACAAAGCAAATCGGCAACATCACGTCGGAGTGATGTTTGCATTCGGTTACTACATCAAAGATTTATTTCTCCAATTAAAGAAAGAACACGAAGCTTTCAAAATCAAAAGCATGGATAACGCGCAAGTAAAAGTATTTCGAGGACAGATCATGTCCGAAGAAGAAGTTCAAATGTTGAAATCTGCTTATATGGTAAGATTAACTAGTTTCCTATCAACATCACTCAATCGCCGTTTGGCGCTTAGTTTCCTTCCGGCCGAATCTGCAGTGACCGGCGGTAATGTCCGAGTACTGTTAGAAATTAATCTGAACACGAAACATAACTCGAAGCCATTCGGGAATATTTCTCATTTGAGCGAATTCTCTGGAGAAGATGAGGTACTGATGATGATTGGAACGTTTCTCCGTGCTCGCCGCACTTATTACAGCGAAGAAGACAAGATGATCAAAGCAATCATGACACTGGAAAATGATTATATCTTGCCATTCGAGGATAAACACATGAGTCTAAAAGCATGTGTTAGTATCATTGCTGCAGATGTGTGCAAAACAGCTCCAGAGCAAGAGATTAACAATATCTTCGATGAACTAGACGAATTATTTCCTTTGGAGAAAGAATGGTTGAAAGCTGAAAGATTCAGAGCCTTAGGTGGATGTCAAACAGAATATAATCAAGAAAATTACAGCGCAGCGCTGAACTATTATAAGCAAGCGCTTGAATTATGGCAAGCGTGTCATGGTGACAATAGTGTCAACATTGCCAATCTTCATCTGCAAATTGCCCGTCTGTACATGTATCACTTAGAAGACGATAGACTCGCTCAGGAATATTATCTGTCTACAATAAGGATTTGCGAAACTGCTCTGACTCATTTAAAAGATGACGAAAGGCAAAAAGCGACATTGTATCATATTTTATCGATGGTTCATCTTGACATGGCAGAGATGGCGGATGAAAACGAGGAACAAAAAGCCGCTCTTCACTATGAACAACTACAGCTTCAGGCGCTGCTGAAAATATGTTCGCCTACCGACAGAGAACTAGGGCAATGTTATCAGAGTATTGCAGTGATGCAAGAAGAGAAGGGTCTTTTCGAAGACGCTCTGATAAACTACAAGGAAAGTTCAAAGATCTACACTGGGTTGAATGATACCGAAACCTTGTCTCGCGTTTATCAACGTATATCTCGCATCTACGAAAATCATTTCAATGATCTCTCAGCAGCACTGAAATATCGATTGTTGAAGCATGAAGCAACTGTCCAGAGTAGCGAGATACTTCCATTTCACGATTCTCTCGAAATCGAAGATAAGAAGCATTGTGTAATCCAGAGTCATCTACAGTTGGCCGATATTCAACTCAAGTTACGCGATTTTGAAGCAGCTCGTGCAAGCTTATCAGCAGCTAAGCAACTGTATGAAGATATGAACTGGGAGAAGCAAGCGAAAAGTATCGAGACACAACTCTCTGACGTCGATCGCCTTGAACGAGAATCTAAATAGAGCATGACAAGAACAATCCTGACTATTGTTTGATGAATAAGAAACTTTCTGCTGCAATTTGTAGAATTAAACGGTTTGTTCATTAAATTAGTTAAATAATCGTTTAGCTTCCGCTTCAATTTATTTGTGCTCGATCCATGGCATGTTTTCAATCGCTTGATAGTTGTTTAAAGCGATGACCGATAATAGCGGAATGAGAATGAAAATGGGCTTAGTAAAAATATATTTCGCCTTTCTCAGTTCGTACCTTCTCCTGCGCCCTGAGAATGGGAGTGTAATAGCTTCGTGAACCATATTCAAGTGCAACTTATAAATTGATGGACTGATCAGTTCATGCCATCATGTAAAATAATTTTCAATAACGAAGGAATCGTGATAATTCAATATTTATACATGGATTCCTCGTATCCTCCACGTAAACAAGACAAATTCAACGCCATATTCATATAAAGAGTCCTTTCAGTCTCGTTACACATTTTCATCGGAGTCGATGTTTGGAAATTTAGGGCAAAGATCAAATCTGAACCGCTAAAAGCAGTCAACGTAATTCTACTCGTACTAGATGAGACAATGACAATATGTAATAACTTCATATCGAAAATAGAGATCCTTAATCTATAGGTTCTGTAATATATCGAGTCCATACTTAACAGAGATGATTATTATAATGGCAGTGTCTGCAGTTACTATCAAGCTATTGTGTGTATGTATTAGCAAATTGAAATTGCCATTCATCCATAATAGTCATCTCAAATCGCCTTGAAACTTGTGCGACTGCTCGTCCAGAAGTAACAATTAAAACTATTTCTGATGTTTTCATCGCAATCGTATTTATGCAGACTTTCGTTTGTGTAATCAAATGAATATTATGTAATGCCAAATGAAAATGAGTGCATCTACTGATGATGAAAGTTCTTTCATTTCTTTTCGTCTTATCTATGAAAGTTGTCTAACTTTTCTTTGTAATATTCATAAACATTTCAACTAAGAAGAAGAAGAAGAAAAAGTATCTTTCTTGATTATGGTGCGTAAGTGGAACAAAGTTGCGCATCTTGTTAGCGTTGGTTGCACAAACGAAGATAGAGAACGAAATATAAATTCAATTCAGAAATAGAATCAATATTTAGTGGAGTACAATCAATAATTTCTATCAAAACAAAAGCATTTTGTTTTGGTCAACTCAAATAATTACGGGAAGACTTCAACCGTAGCATGACGAAAGTTGAAGCGTTTGTCTTATTTTATTCAGTAAATATTTGATCATAATCAACGAGTGTATTAATCTATTTTCAAAGTACTTTGCTCATACAGATTTCGACATTTTAATATGATTAATTGTTAACAGAAAAGGAAAGGATTTTTGCAGGAATTCTCTAATTATATTTCACCTTGAAGAGGTACTGCATATGCCAACTGTATGCTTCTGTCCACATCATGAAAGTTATGCGTATAGAACAAACTAAACATTGAATCTTGTTTGAAAGAGATGTGAAAAGTTTCTCGAAAAACAAAATGAGCCATCGTGTAACAAATCTGAGTAAAATATCAAGATAGTTTATCCAAAAGGAGGCTGATTCTTTGATTTTTTTCAAGACACTGCTTCTGGCAAGTTTAAGCAAGGATTTCGCGGCAAGTACTTTTATCTTTTGTCTTCTAGTAGATTCTTAACACACCAAATTCTCACTTACACCCATCCGTCAAAAAACGATATTATTTTTATAATCCCGAATTTATTTTATCTAAAAGCGTCGATGTTATGTTCGTGATTTCCAATCGTATTCTTTGAAATAGATCACTAAAGTATCCAACGAGACATTATCGACGTTTGTTAACGATTCCGAGTTGTTTACGTCATTTGGAAGCTAAATGGAAAGAAAAAAGGTAATTGACAAATGAGAACGTGGTTCACTACTTTTGAGTCGTCATTAAAAACTATGCTTGACTTTTTCTTTTGCTTTGAAATATTTTCCTTGATTTCCAATGGTTGATTAGTATTCTTCTTCTTTTTCCCAACGCAGGAGAAACACCGTGCCATTGTATTTTATATCGAATTCGCGTAAAAAAAATGAAAATAATTTCAATCATCCACTCTGTGACGATCAAACGAAATCAGTCACATGTCAGAGTGAGTAGAAAAAGAAAGAGAATGCATTTCTTTTTCTTTGTTTTTGTTATTGCGCAGCAGAAAAAAACGTACAAAACACGACAGTTGATCTGTCAAGATGAATAAGGTTCGATTTGCATTTCTTTTCAACGATGAAGAGAAAAAATATGGAAGAACGAAATTCAAAATGCGTTCACCAACGATGTAACAGTGGGCGAGAATAATCAATATCAGTTGACTTTCAAAGTACTGCCTGATCGTTCGTTCTATATTAGACGAAAAAAAAATCAAACAGTTCGAAAAAGTGACTTTATTGTTGCACGTTCCCCGAGTAAATCGGTCAAACGTTTCATGATACCACCACCAATTTTATTCGATCGTAGGTCCACTGCTGTTAGTGTCTATATACAAGAAACGCATCGACGAAAGAGAACGTATGGCATTCGAAATTACTTCGTTTTTTTTGCAATAAAGCTGCAATCGATCGTGCGCCAGGATCTCCTATTTCATTGAATCGTAGAGTCAGTTGATTAAGTTTCTATATTTATCAAAAAGATTATCGACTCGGCAGAAATGCAGAACTTTACCGAGCTATGCTGTAATGCATCAGCAAGAGATTGTGGAGCACCAAGATCTCCAATCTGATTGTCTGTATAGATGCAGAGAAAAGCCAATGTGCCGTTGTTTCACATACAAGGAAAATCATTTTATTCTATTTCAAGACATTACCGATATATTGCGCTCCAAAGCCTCCGATTTGACTATTAAAAAAATCTACTGTTGACAATGTCTACTCGTAACATGTAGTGAAAATAAATATTTGTATAAAACAACGATTACTATATTGATTTACAAGGTATCAGTTAAGTGTTGAACACTTGTATCACTCATCGAATTATTCAAACAGTCAAGAGTAGTGAGTTTCTACATGATAGGAGCATGTCTGGGAGATGAAATAATGTTAAAGAAAAACTCACATTCTTTCGTATTAGATCAGCGAGATATTTTACGCCAAAAGGTCCGATTTGATTATTAATCTGTGTCAATAAATAAGTCTGTACATTCGAGAGCCGTCGAAAAGCGAACTGACTGTGTTGTTAAGTGGAGTATATGTGAGATGTTGTATTTCTCTATCTCAAGTTGATTATACGAGATATTCAGCATGCTCAAAGTTTGTATGTCAATAAGAATATAACTATCTTAAAGATGAATATTACCGTGTTCTTTCATAAAGCGTGTGCCAATGGTTGTACGCTTTTTTCTCCAATTTGGTTGTTCAAAAAAATTCAATGTAAGCTTAATATCCATACAATATTTTCTGTATTCGATCCTTCAATCACACTGCGGTCTCATTTTATTCTCTCGTAATGGTTGCCTATAGCTACGATATTCATGTGTTGATCAACTAATTCGGTAGCAGTTTTGTATGGGACATATTTCAACGATCTGATCTACTTGAAATGAAAGAAACTAACATAGTTCACGATGACGTAGTTCGGAACAACATATTTTCTTCTTTTGCATTTCTACAATCGATAAGTTGAGCACAGATTGATAACAGTAAGATTGTGACCTACATACTACTTACATATAGAACTGCCAGATTGCAACCGAACCAGCATTCTATCCAAATCGCTAGATAGGGTCAGCCGTTCAATCTGAAAATTTCATTGTAGACTGTATAAATATAGGCAAACGTATAGTAAAATTTTCAGCATTATATCCTTTACAAAGATAGAGTCTGGTCTCGTTCTATACCTACGACTTGCCCGTTCTGGGAAATCAGCAGGGTGCAACAAAACTGAGTGGGCTTTCTGGTACGGGTAGAACACTATGGGAACTACATATTGTACTAACAATATTACTTCTATTTTCGCAAATCGAAAACTTTCGCCATTTTCTTCAAATATTACATAGTTTTATCAAGAATATGAACCCAAAATTCTTGATTTTGAGATAATATCTCAGCCTCAGTTAAAGAGGCGGGATTTGAGTTTTTGTTTCGGACCAAAACCCGCTAAGAGCTTGCTTCAGCATAAGTTTAAAAGTCAACAACTCTTATTTAAATGGTTTTTGTCTAGGGTCGGGACTTTTGTCGACTACTATATATGTTGCAGCACTTCTTGTGCGATAAACATTTGCTTACGCCATGTAAAAATCCATAAGGAGCCAGTTGATATTAAAAGATCGAGTCTTAGGCATAATACATCCTTATGCTGTTCTTTACCGAAAAGCATTTCTAGTAAGGGAAGAGATTTATTACTTTATTTTTTGGAAAGGAAAGAAAGTGATGACTAACAATATGTCGAAGAATTTACAGTTGCAATTATTCCACAATATTTCAATCTAGTATGTATGAATTTACTTTGTCTGCATCAAAATCTTGGTTAGTTAAAAATGAACATTTGTCATTCGAAGTTCAGTAACAACTACGAGATCAATTGATACGCAATGCACTTTCTTCAAGAACGATAAATTTTATATTCTACAGGAAATTATCACCAATACAAGACTTGTGAGGATAAGGAACTTTCTGGCATACCGCCATCTGTTTCACCTTGAGGATGTCGTCAATATATTTGTACTTTTTCTGTTCTATGTCTATTTGAAAGAAGAAAAAAACTCGTTGAAGAACATTAGTAACATTACATTTTTTTCAGTGTGTCGTGGTGTAAACAGAATTTCTTCTTTCTATCCTTCTCTTTTTTTCTGTTTCTTTTTTAATATCCGATTTTTTGGCTCTTTTTGGTGACACAGCATAAGACCAACATAGAAGTATTACTCATCTACTGAAACTAATCGAATTAATCATAGCTCAAAATCAAAGTCTATGTCGATCAGAAGATTCAAAAATGCTCGTCCGAGAAGTTAACACACCAACGACCACAAGCAACCAATACCGCCGTTCCGAATCCATCNTCTGATCTACTTGAAATGAAAGAAACTAACATAGGTCATGATTGTAACGGTCAGCGTATAGCTATAATTCACCTATGCGACCTGCTTATAGATATTGACCTTGCATTTTCTTTGTTATGTTATGCACGGTGTTTCGTATATAAGCTGTGTTAAATAAAGGAACGACACGATTATGAGTGTGTAGATGACACAACACACCATCATGTCGCAAGACATAGACATTCACTCTCATAATTCGTCACAATGATGACGTAGTTTGGAACAACGTATTTTCTTCTTTTGCATTTCTACAATCGATAAGTTAAACACAGATTGATAACAGTAAGATTTTGCTTTCATTTCTTCCTTTCATCTTCTAGCGGAGGATTTCAATATACATAGCCGTAACTAATTGTGCGGTGCTCTCGCTGTTCTCTAATGATTGCGTCGCAATGATTATCTGCTTCGTCTGATACGCAAAGAATGACTTCTTTTTGCAATTGATGTTCTTCTGTGTCGTTAATATAAATCTACCACGACACATGCATATACATTGTTGTCGTATACCTAGTGACATACAATACCTTTCTAATTCATCTCGATTACATGTAGTTAAACAAAATAATGTTTATTATATCGTTTTTGACATACTTTAATGTCTTCAATCTAAGATGTCGTAATCAAAAGATGTTTGCTGCAACCGGCATGCACAAGCACCTACTTTCTTTATTTGCAGATACGAGCAAAATACGTATATGATTCATGCGAAGTATCGCTACCGCTTGATGACGAATGCCCGTGTTCCCAAAGTATATGAGAACGAGAAAAAAAAATTTGCATCGTCACCATGAAATGCAGAACAAAACTAGTCTTGTTCAAAGTGAAAGAAGAAGAAAACGCACTTAAGTCAATCTTCTTCTATAGAATATGACAGAGCAAAAAAATAAATTACTCGTCTATATAAATCGAGCATCGACGTAAAAAAGACTTCTAAATATAAAAAATGGGAGTAACCGGTTCTAAAGAAAACGTGACTAAAAAGCCTGTTGTAGTCGTCGTTGGGGGTGGATATGGTATGTAGAATAAATTTATTCGAAAGCTGAGATCAAAGAATATAATGCTGATTTATTTTTCTTTTGAGGTGGTGTTAAATGTGCTCAATTGCTCGATAAAAGTGGTCAATTTTTTGTGGTACTTATCGATCGTAAATCGTATTTCCTACACAATATCGGTACATTACGTGCATGTGTAGAGAAAAATTATGCAAATCAGATTATGATCCCATACGATCGGGCACTCACTAATGGTTCGAATTGCAGACGATGTGCATTTCTCTTGTTCTCATTCGATTTCATCTTTTAGGTTGTGTCGTACACGCGGAAGTCGTATCCATTTCTTCGAATGGTGTCTTTGTTCACGGACACGAACAGCCTATTCATTTTAATTATTTGGTCATTGCTACTGGATCTTCCTATGCATTTCCCGGCAAAGTAGCTGAACCTCAACGTAATCAAGCACTTTCACGGTACAGTACCATGCGAGAAGAGATCTACAAAGCACAGCAAATCCTTGTTATCGGTGGTGGTCCTGTTGGAATCGAACTTTGTGGTGAGATAGCGACGGATTTTCCAAACAAAGAGATTACTCTCGTACACGGTGGTTCCACCTTGCTTCAATCGAACGTATTCCGAGAAGAAATGTATACTAATCTTCAAAGACAACTTCAACATATGGGAGTTAAAATCCTGCTGAATGATTGGATCAAAGTAGCAAGTACCGATAATACAAAATCACCAGTAAATTATATCCGTGGTAAGCAAACGTATGTTACTGAAAACAACAAACAATCAGTAACAGCTGATCTAACCTTTATTTGTACTGGAGCACGAGTGAACAACAAGAGTTTGATGATGAGTGACTTGGCAGATAAAGTTGATACTCAAAGTGGTCGACTCAAAGTCAATGGTTATCTGCAAGTCGAAGGACACACAAATATTTTCGCCATCGGTGACATAAGTAACAAGGAATCGAAAATGGCTTACTATGCCGGCAATCAAGCGGAATATGTCGCATCTTTGATTCCTATCATTGAAAGAAACAAGCCCTATCCTAAAGAATATCAGCCTGGGCAATATCCAGCCATGTTTGTTACACTTGGACGAAAGGGTGGAGTGGGTCAAATGCCTACTAAAAGTGGATTTATCGTCGGTTCGTAAAAACGAGTTTTGCTTGAAGTACGACAGTCAGTAGTCTTTTTTTTCGTATAGGAAATACACTGGTGAAATTGCTGAAATCAAAAGATATGATGACTTCACGCACACAGTCGATGATGAATTACAAAGCGCACTCTCTAGATGAATCTCTGTCGGATCATCCATCGGCTTATTCGCATAAACTTCTTTCGCTCAAAGAATGTATGGAACTGACGGAAAAGGATGCGGAAGAATTGCTTGCCGGTCTTCCAGAAAAACAAATTGAACTCGGTCAAGATTTTGTTTAGTATTTCTGATGTTTTTCTTTTACAAATTTCAAATACTATCAACACCCTCACGCTCAATTAGATCTTCTTTTGAAGACTTGTATAGTTAACGTGCTATGCCATGAATGTCAACATAAGTGAGATCGTCGTTCAGGTTATGTTCCACTTTCTTCACTGTGAATCCAAACCCAGCAGGGAGAAGAACTTCATCTTCATTCGGAAACATACTCATACTTGATATATTCACCGGTCGACCATAGCGAAATCGTTCAGTAAATTCGCTTAGATCAATAACGAAAATTGTATTACAGCCAAATGCTTTTGCGATTTCCAGAGATTTGCTCGTCGAAGTAAAACCGAGCCAACTTACAGTTCCTTTCCCAACTATTTCTCGATACTGATCAATCATAGATGTCTCTAATTGACAAGCTCGAAACACTGTTCCACGGTACACAGGTAACGAAGGTGAGTAAATATGTTGTCTCAGTAAGTAACAAAATGGCACCAATGCCTCCGATTTACTTTCATCATTGTTACGAAGCGCTTGATTCACTACCCGATTAACAAAAACATTGCGCGTATAGAGACGGACACAATAACTAGGAATTTCGTCCCGTGAGCGTTCTTTAACTTGATTGAATTCTTTTTTAATGGAAGCTAACACTTTCTTATCGCAACGTTCTTCTTTTCCGACTTGCATGATGCCTTTCAAAGCGGCTTCTGCTATACCCCATTCGTTTCCTTCTAAAGTTCGCGTTTACCTAGAAATCGATTCCTCCAATTGGCAATCATACGACAGCCAGGATAGTGTTGCTTGTCAAAAGTTCTATCACCATTTAATGCAATGAATTCAGGCGCAATCAATCTTACTGATGACAAAGATAAATATCGTCAGAAGAACAGCCGTGCATTTCTTGACAACACTGATTTTTTGTTCGATCGTTTGTTTAGAAAAAAGTGCCTTCTCAAATATACACTGAAAAGCTTTTAACGAAAGAAAAACATTCTCTGCTCAAGCAGAATCATCGATCGAAGAGCGTTCTCCTTTGGAATGAAAGTACGTATGGTAGCATGTCGAAAGCTACTATAGATTGTGTTGGTAACAGATTATTAATATCATCAGTGCAGCTCATATTACAATGTTAAAAATTCTGAATAGAGCAGCTGCATGCAAGTATGACATACTTTTTAATAAATAGGTCAAATGAAAGTTAAATAAAATATCGCTTAACGTTTTACCTCACTCATCAATGTGCATATATAATTAACAAGAAAAACCATGGTTCTTCCTTTCATTCTACTGGCAATTAAAAAACACTTATGGTCAAGTTATAATTTAATCAAATATGTCATCGAGCGCTTTCTATGTGCTCATAAAAATTTTGTCCTTCACTATCAACGTTTTTTCCATATTAACTATGCCCATAGCTAATTTCATATAGAATAAATATTCATCGTGAATTTACCTGAATAGCACGATGCCGAATGCATCAACGCATCAACTAGCAAATCTCGTAATAGATTATTCAATTATTGTTTTGAATTCAATAAGTATTGGCATCTCAATCATAGTTTTCACATTTATTGTCTACCATTTGAAGAAAACTCGAAATTCTTCTAATAAGATCCCATTTCTCCTTACCGCAAACATGTATTTATCCATAATTTTATCGTGTGTTTTGCTGCTCAAAGAATACATCCGTATTTTACCAGGACATCTGTTCTCACTTGACACGTTAGATGATGGGATTCTCTGCCAAATTCGTGCTTATTTTTTATGGGCATCGAACTGCACAATTTATTATTCAATAACGCTGCAATCTTTATATCGTTTATGTCGAATTCTATACCATACAAAACAACGTTTCCTGTCTTTGCGATTTTATGAATTGTTAATTCTTTTACAATGGATCTTTTGCTTTCTCATCATGATTCCCGGTCTTTTTCTAGGTAATTACATATATTTACAAGGTGATTATTTCTGCCAAATAGATTACACGAAATGGAAGAATATTATTCTCAATGGTATCTTAGCTTATTACATTCCGATAAACGTCACAATTGGATGTTACTTTTATACATTAAGAAAGATTAAACAGGACAGGCACTCCACAGTTTTTACAGTGGCGCGTATCCAACAAGTCACTGCACGACGAGATTTGATCGTTGTATCACGACTTTGTGCTCTTTTTGGTCTATTAACAATGATCTCAATACCAGCAGTGACTGGTTATTTCATATACGTTTTCACGGGATATTTACCATGGTGGTTATCACCTCTTCAATGGCTCGGTTTTAGTTTGATCATGAACATTGTCACCATTGTGCTTGTCTTTATATCTCCACAAGTTCGAATTTTATTCACTTGCCATTAATGTATTGCAATTGTAGTGGTCGAAGAAAAGGAAAGAGAACAACGAGATATTTATAGATACGCACGTTCGATTAAACTGAAATAGAAAGGAAAATGTGTCGTTGGTTCGCGTATATTGGTGTCGAACCAACTCTTCTTGAAGACGTTCTAATCAAACCGAAGCATTCGATCGTAAAACAAATCGATGTGCATTTTCTTCCAAATCTCCATTTAACTTACAATCCAGATCTCGGTCGAAATACAATCAGTTCGGGTGAAGCATCGGACACCCAAGGTCCAAACCATTTTACTAATGTCGACGGGTTTGGTGTCGGTTATTACACAGGTGTTGCCGCTGAATTCAACGGAAATCACATCAACCTTCCTTGTATTTACAGAAACATTCGTCCACCGCTGAATGACCTCAATCTGTTGTCTCTCTGTGCTCACACATCGACCACATGTGTATTTGCGCACCTTCGTGCTGGCTCAAGTCGTTCGGCAACTGTGGAAACCAACAACCATCCATTCGTTTTCGGTCGATACATGTTCATGCACAATGGTTTCGTCGGAAATTTTTCGAAAATTAAAATCCCATTATTGAAAAAACTATCGATTGCTTCCTATGAGAACATTTTTGGAACGACCGACACAGAACACGTTGCCGCTCTGTTCTTTACTCATTTAGGTGATGATTGGAGTATCGAATATTCAATGGAAAATTTGAAAAAAGCAATGGTAAATACTATTCGAGATCTGGTGACATTGGTGCAAGAGATGAACATCGACGTTCCGCATAGTTTCCTTAATTTTGCTGTTACGGATAGTTATCAATTACTTGCAACTCGTTATTCATCAATAGATGAGTTCGAACCACCTTCATTGTATTATTCAACGACAGCTGGGCCGACTCTGAATCGAAAATATCCTGATCATCCAGATGGTGAACAAGTTCAGAAGAAAACCAACCGAGGAACACACGAACACGGAAAACATGTTATTGTCGCAAGTGAACCAAGCACTTACAAAGCAGCTGAATGGCATTTAGTCCCATGTAACTCATTTGTTCTGGTTGAGAAAGATTTGAATGTTGGCATAGAAAAAATTCGGTTCTCCATATGATACTTTTCTTACGTAGAGAAAACTTTTATTGAATAAATATCGAATCAGCTAGTCTATATAGACCGGCGCAACTCTTGTGTCACTTCTTTTCACCAAGCGAAGTAAAAAGGTTAACTTAACAGCAATTCTCGGTGTAGTTAGTAAACATATGAACGGCAATACTAACGACGTAAAATAGAATAGATAAAGAAAAGCATCTTCTTGTATTTCGGTTTCCTGTCCATCGTGAGGATGATTGCTTAACACATGTAAAAGTTCACTAATACTCGCCGGTAGAGCTCCCATGAAGTAAACCAATGAGACGAATATAAACTGAATAATTAGTCTTCTTCGACGATGCCAGCGAATCGGATGACGGCCTCGAAATGTTTTCCATGTCACTCGGATTAACAAAGTAAAGCTGAAGATGAATATCAACAACGATGAGAAGATTTTATGAATGATTAATTCGAACGTGGAAAGCCTAAGGTCCGTGTGAACATAACATGCTTTACCGCAAAACATCTCATTGATTAGGAAGTGTGTTTCATGTGCGCATAACGGATTGAAGAAGATAACGGTCGTGTAAAATATCGAAGCGTACAAGAAAATAAGAAATAAAGGAGAGTAATGGAAGAGGAAACGTTTGTGTGGAGTATTGAAAAATTGACGATGATGAAATATAAGAAGATGACGCTCAAAGGCTGCCCACATGATCAGAAAAGAACAGAAACTCGACAGAAATGCATCGAGAAAATTCCATGCTTGACAAATTCTCCATAAATTGCCTCGAACGAAGCCATAGGAAAGAAAATCGAGTGTAATGGATAGGTCAACCGTGATTAGAAAGAAATTGACAATGAGCAAACATAGAATGGTATGGTTACGAAGGGATTTTCGCAATGCTTGATCGTGGAGAAGATGAAAAATAAAAAATAGATGACAGAATATCGATGGAACTTGAAATGTAATGAGTAAATAAAATTTGATTTGTCGCATGAAACCGCTAGATAAACTTGCTTCCGAGCTATTCATTTTTATCTATGCTAAGAAGACGAGTTCTATCCACTCTCAATTATAGACATACGCAAGTATCATTTTCTTTCTCTTTATGCAAAGAACAGAAAAAGAAGAAATATCCATTGAGACACTCTGATCTCATTAATAAGCACCATAGTAAAACTTAATAGCAGAATTGAAGGCGGTCAAATGCTTTTCAGGCAAGTCTTTCTCTCGAGAGTATCACTATCTGGAGGCGATGTTAATATACACTTCTAGCATATCGTTATCAATAAATTATATAACTACTGAATGCATCCCAAAGTTTTATTTCACTTTTTGTTACATATTATCTATAGAAAAAAAAGGAAACTAGTTCGAATTCATTAAGAATTTACTACCGAATTACATTTTTTATGATGAACTATGATATACTTACAGCTCTCGAGAAAAAGACACGTATAACTGGAATGTATAAGTATTCCTGTCAATTACTAACGCATATGTTTTTACCATGCTTGCCGTCGAAAACTAGCATAATAAGACATGACTCCCCAAAAATCTAGACAGGAATATTCTCATTTCTACGGATAATTTGAACAGATAGCGTCGCTTTTGATTCTTCATTGATCAGTAAGACATTAGGACACAAATAATGAAATAAAAAATTCCTATTTCTTGAGTTGCTCATAGCAACAAATGAGAGAAAAGCAGTATTTATTCAAGAATATCGGAATAATATAGCTTTGACTATAGTCCATGCTTGAATTTATCCAAACGATTTGTCAAGTTTTCATCAGTTGTGCTTCTAATTTGTTTATAACTACCTTTACCAACACTTGTTTGAGAAATGGATTGTTTGCTAATTTTATTTCAGGTAAACACTCGACAATCTGGTACGGTGGAACGATATAACTTGGCTGAGTCATGAGATAGTTCTCCATACCGTTATCGAAAAAATATCAATTACTTATTCCAGTAATTAAAAGGTGGACAATCACTGACTATATGGTGTAATTCTACCAAAAATTATCGCATGAACGCCTATCTTCTCAATTGAGAACGCAAAGCCAAGATATGTTTAAGCATTCTAAAGAATATCTAATTGTACCTTCAGCTGCGGTTGCTAGCGATGTTGTTTTGGTTGTTGACGAATTTTGCTGTGTTGTTACAGATGGTGTTGAGCGTTTTTTTTCTCGTCGAATTACCGTCGGTATGAAAATATTAACTATGATTAGAGCTAGAAGAATAGTTCCTGATGTTACAAAAAAGCCGTCTTTTTTTTCAGAATACGTTGGAAGCTAATAGGAAGAGAAGTATTCCGATTTGAACATATTATGATTATCAAATAACATTCTATGATTCGTATTTCATTTCACTTCGACAGTTCCAATATTTCAGCTGAAATAAAGGTAAAGATGTGTGTGATATTTCTTTTCACATCGAAAATTACAAACTTCGAATGGTGAGTTATTATGCATATCTTTTCTGTGAAAAGGTACGTTATGAATGGAGAAAAGCGTTCGACAAACGGCTATACCAAAGAAATAGTCAACGTAATTAACGATCTTTTCCCATATCTAGAAAAAAAGGCGATAGATGGAATCAATTCATATGTAGAAGCTATGCATCAAACTACAAAACACAAGTAATTTCTCTATTCGAGAATGTGAAGTTACCTGTAGCTATTCTAGTCAGTCAATATTTTCCATTTTTGTTAAGTCTGAAGCAACGCTCGAACCACCTATAGTTACGAGGATCAGTGAGAACCTTAGACAAACTAGAAATGCTATTAGAATAAAGAAAATATGCTTCTTGACTAAATTCCCTTCCATTATAGAAGATCCGGATCTTCGAAAAGTTAAATTTTCTTGCCGATCACTATTACATCGTGTTATCAACAATAAAACTTACAGGAAAATTTAAAAATCGCGACCTATCTATGCACAATAGAAACAAAGTCTCATTTTGTTTTCTTTTTCTGTTCGTTTCATTTCCTATTTAAAATGTAATCATAATGAATTTGGTTCATTTGAATTCTATGAAATATAGATAGAACATTCACGTGATGCTCTTCAGAAAATTTCACTTCTTTAGCTTCCTTTCTTGAAGTAGTCTTTTTCTTCAGTGACATACCAGATTTTTCCAGCGTCTCTCGACATTTGCATAGTTTATCCATTTTCAAGTCCACATACTTAGACAAAGGTTTTTAGTTAGAGAACTGGTTCTATATAGCATCGTTAGCAACTATCAAGTATCAATGCACTCTAATCCAAACCATTAGATTGCAATGACTAAAGAAATTTATATTCGAAAGAAAACGAGCCTATCCAATGCTGTTCGTGATGAATTCTATGTAATATTATAATGAACACGACTCAAATTTTCGTGTTCAATTCATTGAAACCAAAGTTATCATACACAAAAAAATATTGTTACAGAATAATTTCTAGTAAGCCATTTTTTAACAAAAAATTAAGTAGAGTTACTTAACCGTCGTATGGGCAGAAACTAACTTTCAATTCGTCATGTGTATTTTCTAAAAGCAGAACTTTGAGATTCTATAGCTCTTCAAATTCATTCAAACTAAGAATAAAGCTACTTGAAATGTCGAGAGACGCTAGAAAAATCTGGTAGGTCACTCGAGAAAAGAAACCGCCTTAAGAAGGAGCTAAAGAAATGAAACTTTCTATCGAATGTCATAACGACTATCTCGATTACATAACATAGAGATGGACGAAATATGATCTCTCGCAATAGATATAGAAAAATGTTATGGCTACCTTAAGCAACATTCATATTCTGTTACTTGTGTGTGTGTGTGTGAATCCATATTAGAAGATCCGGAACCCCTTATTGCAGAATGATGATTTAATCAGAGAATAAAATGTTGTACATAAATCTACGGAGATGTTGATTCATGAGTATCTCACAAGGAATACCATCGTACTTTCTATACATCATCGGTCATCTTTTTTGCAAATATGTAGATCTCATTTGAAATAGGTCACTTTAACAAAAATTTTCTAAAATTTCGTAAAAACAACCACTGCGCATGAAGGAAAATATAGTAAAATATTTGCTTTGTGCTTTAAATCCTCTTCTTCTCGTGTATCATGAAGAATTTAAAAATAGCAATAATACTTCTAATTTTATTTTTGCTTGGAAACAGGATGATGCAATAAATATTGGGGGAAAAAACTCCAGAGAGTATTTTCTCATCCGACAGTGAGATTTTGACTGATCGATAATCTCATAGTTTTGTAGTGTAGAAATTCTAGTGACAGATGGTTTTCAACTTTTGTTTATCATGCAAGGAGAAAATTGTCTACTCTACGCACAGATGAAGGATGAATATCTAGAACGAAGACCATTCTAAAACCATGTCGATTCGGATCTTTTCCGTGAGGAACTTTCTTCTAAATTTTTTAACTTTAATATAGAAAGCATTTTGATTCGTTATTCTGCAAATAAAACTTAGTCATATACTATGATGACGTGTCTGTACACGTACACGTGTGCAGTATTGATAAGTATAAAATGGATACCATTTTTCGACACCGACACGACAATGTCAGAAAAGATAACAATTCGAACGGCTGTTTTGGATGATGTTCTTACAATGTTCAAGTTGATCGATGAAATTCTTGATAGTCCATCAACTGATGAGGAATTACAAGAGCGATATGAACGATATGAGCCAAGATTTGGGAAAGATTCGACGTTTATTTATTACGTAGCTGAAAATGAACAGAAGAAAATGATTGGATTATGCTCAGGCGGAGAGACTCTTCAATGCAATCGAACAGTCAATGATAAAGTCTACGATTGTGAAATTGCACATATGTTCGTCCATAAGGAATATCAACATCGTGGTATCGGTCGTGAACTGTGGCGAACTATCTGGAATGCGATTGTTGAAAGATTCCATCCAAACAATGTGATCGTCTGGGGAGTGAATCGAGAACAAGCTCATCGATTTTATCGTTCGGCTGGAGGTACACTGGCAGGAACGAAGAATGTGGATAGTGGAATTTTAACGGCTTATGTATGGAATGATCTTCAGTTGCTGGACTAAATAATCGAATATGGATTAAATTATTGGCTGGATGTTTGTAACCATTGGATAAATTTGATTAGCAACTTGTCTTCTCGTCTTTCTTTTTAACCATACATAAAATTGCTTCAATCTCTTAATGAAATTTTGTCGAAATAGTTGTGATATTAAGCAATAAATGTAGAAGTTATAACAATAATTCATATTTAGAGCATTGTAAAACACAAAGATCTCAATCGGCAATACCGAAACATCTCTGAATTTGAGGTAAAAGATTTGATAAACAGAGTAAGGCAATGTCGATACGCAAAACCAAAAGACAGTTGAAATCATCAGGATAAGCATCTGTCGCTGAACGCGCTCTCTACGAACTGATGGTACAATAATAGTTGCGTGGACGTCTATATATGTTCAAGTAAATATTCACTAAACACACGATCATGAAACAACTAGGGAAAATATAAAGAATCATCAATCGCAGGATAGTCCAAGTGTTGTAGTAAAAGATGGAATAGACAGCCGAAGGAAATACCGGGGGGCCACACCAGTTACTTGATGGATTAGCGTAGGAAACTGCTGGTTGAAAAACGTGACTTGTGAAAGCAGCCGAACATATGCTCACAGCAACTATTGAACAACCGGCGACTTTTCGTGTATCGAGCTTTGCCGTTCGATACGGAAAATGAGTGCGAATGAACCGATCAACGGAAATGAGGACAAGCAACCAAAGAAGATGTAAATTCTCGAAAATGACAGAGATGTTCGCTACGTATGGATGGTAAATTAAGCGTTACTGAAACAAAATCACGGATAGATATGAAGAGATACAACATATCAGAGACAGTTAAGGTCATAAAAACTAATCCAGTTGGAGTGCTACGAAGAGCCTGAGATGAAAATGTTATTATACTACATATACGTCCGACGAAACCAAATGGAGTTGAAAGTAGGAAACCGTAGAAGCCAACAGCTTCGGCAGCAGTACTCGTCATTCTAGTGATGCGTTTTCTGTTGAATACAATCGAGATAAAAATCATAATTGCTGTGCGCAAACTCAAGCAGTAAATCAGATTTGAAAATATAATCTTTAGATGACGGTGGCATAGAAAGACAAAACGGGACTTAAACTACTTTACCTTACATGAAATTCTATTTCAAGTAGATGACATCCAACTTTTTCATCTGGTAGAGCGCGTTTTTCAAAATTAAATCTTTAGTTTCAGACGAGATTTTTCTTCTTTATAAAATTCTTAATGATTATGTATTGATTCATAGACATCTTAAATTGCTCTAACGGCATTTCTTTCAGAAAACTAATTTGACAAAGTGATGTACACATACGTGTTTGTGCAATATGAATCATAGAATGTTAACTTCTTCGTTTTCATGCGCATTCACATTCATATTAAAGAGCGTGGTAAAAGAATGACACAAACTTGTTCTAGTTACAATATTTGCCAACACATTAGAACTATTAATATCGAAAATAAACACGAAGGTGTGTTGTATTATTCATTCGATGTCAGTGTACAACTAAGGTCCTTTTTCCCTCCTTCTATTGAGTCGTACTTTAAATATTGACTTTCATTTTCGATGTGTTTTATCTTAGTTCTGAATGAAAACAAAATACTTATGAAATCTTACTTATACAATGTCGCGATTAGATATCAGTATTTAAATTTGTGTTCGATATCAATGCTCGATAGAGTATCGTAACTTATGCATTTCAATTATGACTCCACATTCTTCTGACAAACTCACAATCGTTCATGTTCGACTCGTCTTCCTTCGAATAGGTAAAACTCATTCCATCATTCTCACAATCAAATCACATCCAATGATTTCTCGTCTAGGTGAAATCGATACACTCAATGAACGATATCAAGCACATGCCTCCATCGAGTCTCGTTGGACAGTCTCACACGACAAATTTCTATCGACTATCACAGCTACCGAACAAGAACGTCTCATAAAGGGCAAATCCATCTCACTTGACGAATATGAACAATCTCACTGGCATCCACAACTCTACATCGAGAATGCACTAGGTGACCTCAAAGAACAGATCACGTACAGCGCAAAAATTAATACAAAAGATCAGAAAATCTACATCTGTGAACATCGAATCATCAAAGGACTATTCTGGGAGAAACTCGAGCTGCAGCATTTTCCAAGTGATGTCCAAGACTTATCAATCTCAGTGACATCGACATATTTCCATAACAGAGTTGTTTTGATTGCTGATCCACATCGTCAAAGCGGAGTGAATCGTGAGGCGTTTGTTGATCAACAAGAATGGTGTCTATATGAACATATTGACACAGAAGAACGATACGTTAAAGAATTCTTATTCCAAACTAGTTCCGATGAGGATGACGAGGATGAAGGAGGAATAGATTCCATGAATACAGAAGATCGAAAACGATGTGTATTGACAGTTACTTGTCATGTTGGTACGTAAGAAAAGGACAAAGAACAACTCTCTGTTCTTTTTATCTTAGCTCGCCAATCACAGTATTTCTTTTGGAATGGATTTTGTCTAATCTTTTTAATCACTCTAGTCTCATTCTGTGCATTTGGTCTGCCATTGCAGTAAGTTCGTTAGAAAAGCAATATGGCATATCGGATTTTTTCTCATTCTTAGGTACGTTGTGAATCGTTTACAAGTATCATGCACACTTCTTCTAACATCAATTTCATTTCGTTGGACAGTCAATCGATCATTAGTATCTGACAATAACGTTTTCATCTCGGAACACAATGTCCTATTCGATTTCTTTGTTTTAGCCGACGATATCGTATTTGACATCACTAGATAAATATGGTATTTTATGTATATTCAATCTGATACTACACGCTGTCTGGCACAGTATCATCTGTGTGATTATCTATGAACAAACGAACAATTTTCATGTGTCAAAGAATTCCTGGATGGCTTATTTAGATCGCGCAGCATTTGGTGTATGCGCTCTGCTCTTTATTGTATTACATGTTATCATGATTGCATGGCTCTATTGGGTTCCGTTGAGACATCGTAAAGAAATGAAAAATAAAGATGAGCGCTATCGGCTACTGGTGGTCGAAAAAATGAAAGTCAACGAGCAAGAATCGTGTCTTATCAAGAAAAAGATAATTAGTTTCGATCAAAACCATATCAGTCGACATTCGACATTCGTCTAAACCATTTTTGAAGCTTGTTTTGATGATTGTATGAAACCATTCTCTTGCTGAGTAAAAATAAATCAGCAAGAATTTGACATCCGAAAGCGAATATTGCCGTGCACCTTTACAGGACAAAACTCATGTTTCGACAGATGTGATCGACGATTGATATAACATTCATTCTATTGGAATATAAGGAGAATTTGCTTTTTACATATATATCTGATTACATTGGAAATATTGACAACCCTCTTCTGCACCTTTTTTTCGTAACAACATGTGTTTGAGAAACTGTAGAAAGATTACGACTCTGCAGTGAAACGATCGCATCGGATATAAATATTTGATCGCGTATCCTATATCAATCACTACCAAAAAAAAATTATCGCTTCATTTTTTAACAACATTTCACCTCATACATCTGTAGTCAACTATGATTTCACCGTCTTCAGACAAACTCACAGTCGTTCATGTTCGACTCGTCTTCCTTCGAATAGGTAAAACTCATTCCATCACTCTCACAATCAAATCACATCCAATGATTTCTTATCTAGGTGAAATCGATACACTCAATGAACGATATCAAGCACATGCCTCCATCGAGTCTCGTTGGACAGTCTCACACGACAAATTTCTATCAACTATCACAGCTACCGAACAAGAACGTCTCATAAAGGGCAAATCCATCTCACTTGACAAATATGAACAATCTCACTGGCATCCACAACTCTACATCGAGAATGCACTAGGTGACCTCAAAGAACAGATCAAGTACAGCGCGAAAATCAATACAAAAGATCAGAAAATCTACATCTGTGAACATCGAATCATCAAAGGACTATTCTGGGAGAAACTCGAGCTGCAGCATTTTCCAAGTGATGTTCAAGACTTATCAATCTCAGTGACATCGACATATTTCCATAACAGAGTTGTTTTGATTGCTGATCCACATCGTCAAAGCGGAGTGAATCGTGAAGCGTTTGTTGATCAACAAGAATGGAGCTTGTACGAGCATACTGATACTGAAGAGCGATATATCAAAGAATTTTTGTTTCGAACGGACTACGACGTTGAGGACGAGGATGAAGGAGGAACACATTCCATGAATACAGAAGATCGAAAACGATGTGTATTGACAGTTACTTGTCACGTCGGTATGTAATAAAAGAACAGAGAAAACAAGAACAATTGGGTCTTCTTATTTTCACATAGCTCGTCAATCGCAATACTTCTTTTGGAATGGATTTTGTCTCATTCTACTGATTACTCTCGTCTCATTCTGTGCATTCGGGTTGCCATTACAGTAAGTTTGTCGTAACAGTCTTTGCATACCTAATGGATTTTCTTTCTCTCCTCAGATATGTAGTCAATCGCCTGCAAGTATCGTGCACACTTCTCCTAACATCAATCTCATTTCGTTGGACAGTTAATCGATCATTGGTGACCATTGATACTCTTGTTGCCAAACACAATTCTCTATTCGTTTTCTTTGTTTTAGCCGACGATATCTTACCTAACATCACTGGATAGATATGGTATTTTATGTATATTCAATCTGATATTGCATTCCATGTGGCACAGTATCATAAGCGTAATAATATACGAACAAACGAGCGACTTTCGTGTTCCAAAGAATTCCTGGATGGTTTACTTAGATCGTGGTGCGTTCGCTGTGTTTTTTTCTGCTTTCGTTATCCTTCATATTATGATGATTACATGGCTTTTTCGCGTTCCGTTGAAACACCGTCAAGAGATGAAAGATAAAGATTATCGCCATCGAGCAGGAATTGTAGGAAAACTCAATGGAAATGTGAATCCGTCGTTTTCTCCGATAGGACATGACACGACTGTCTATGATCAAAAGTCTACGATAATTTAATTTTTACTTTTCTTACAATAAAAAAAGATTCAACTAACTCCTTTTGATTGCAAACCAGATGTTATTGCATTGAGAAATTGAAATATTACATGTAACATTGATCTCAGTCAATATTGGACAGGAGGATATGGAGTGAATGATTACATAGGTAGAAAGGTAATTGATCGCAACCGGTTTTCTTTAGAAATTATGAATAGAATCTCGATCCATCATAATGAAAGAAAGAAAAGTCATTGACTCATGACCTTTTTTCGTTCTGTCGATGATTCTTGTAATGTGCATTGGCCAGTTCAAAAGAAAAAGAATAGAATTTTCATTTCTTTTTTCAAATACGCTCTGTGTGAAATTTTTCAAGAGAGACAAATCAATCGTACGACACATATTATATTTTATTCAAACAAAGGAATATAACCTGTTTTCTTTCATCCAAAAGCTTTCTCATCTGCGTAACACACATACAAAAAACCATCGATATCTTTATTTTCATGATATAAAACTTCAATAGTTGTGTTCAGAGATGGTTGTTTACCATAGGAACTGACATAGAAGAACAACGCGTGCTCGGGACGTAGCCGGAGACGTCTTCGGATGTTATAAGCAAACTGACCAAAGGATAGTTCAGATGGGACAAGAAATTTTTCGTTTTCGAGACGAACTAATGCTGTATCATGACACGACGATGACGACGAAGAAAACGAGCGAAATAATGATGTTGGTAACGCTGATGACGGAGAGAGTAATGGTTCAACAATAACAGGAATACGATCGGGATAACGCCGTCGAATGCGTTCAGATTCAAATCGACGCTGTTCGAGAGAATGCTTATGTTTATATTGCCAATTCATTGTCTAGGAAATTTGATACGACGTGTTTTTTGTTTGACAAGCTCAAGAACACAATATGGACGTAGTCACAGTTATGCAAGATGAAAGGAGGAATAGTAGTTACTAGCACCGAATTACTAAAGCACATTGAGTGAAAATCGAAAGAAGAAGAAGGAGGAAGAAGAAGAAGAAAGAAAGAAATAAGGAATATGAACATGTCCTTGAACGTATATATAGACATACGCGTTAAACACCATGTGTTCTCCTATCAAGTGTTTGACTCGTTAGAACTAGTAGAATTTCGCAATAAATTTATTACAGAATAGTTAAGAAGACAATGGTATTCACTTTATAATGGAATTCTCTTCTCCTGATGTCTATTAGATAAGTCTCGTAACATGTTTGTAAAACAAATTGAGATGCAAAGACAACTGGTATAACATGATGTAATTCGACACTTGCAATCAGATCGAATACCAAACACAATTAAAATATTTTCTAACACGTAGGAGTGATACATTGATGTTCGAAAAGAAACATTTAACACTAAAAACGTCGTTTTCTCACTATACTCAAACGAACTATAGAAATATTTCTTATATCGAGTCAAATTGGTTCAACTAACGCATAATTTTTCAAATTCAATTGCTTCTCCTCTCATACGATGATGTACATAGTTTGTTTGAAGACATCATTCAGACATTTTTCCAAATCATTTTGTAATTTGGTTTTAGCAGGCTACAATGCGCTATATATACACAGCAAACAACGATCTTGATACACGTGGAAAAGTAGCTGTTACTAAACAGAGGATATTCATTCACGTCAAAACTGTGAATTTATCGTGATTTTATTTGGTGTAAATAAATGTCGATCATACAATTACGTATCCGTGGGAAGAACTGCAGAGAAAAGAATACATGCCATGGTAAATTCCAACTTCATGGAAACTCAGATAAAATAATATTGAAATAGATTTCCAGGAAATCCATATCAACTCATATTAATAATAGTTGCAGTCAGTCGCTAATGTTCAATATAAAAGTATTTAATAAGAGAGTGCGATTGTAGAGTTTGAATTGGGTTTGGGTTGGGTTGGGTTGGGTTGGAAATTTATTTTTAGATGGAAATGGTATCACGGCTGTACTATAATATTCAATCATGGATTGAATTGGCTTGAACTCGATTGATTACAGTGAAGATGACAGAATTTCATTTTGTATGCAATACAGTGACAGGAAGACGCAATATATGAGCGTTTTATGACTTGAATTTGGCTTATTCTAGGTAAAACTAACGTGATTCAAGAAACACATTTTTATTCAAAGGTAACATGGCGGTATACTCTTCCTTTCTCGTTGAAATGAAATAAATCGAGATGAACTGACGTCAAACTCCAAACGGAATCCATTCTAATGCATAATATGAATAAAATCAAATGTGAAACTTTTGTGAAGTATGAATTGAGTTACGGTTTGTGTTTTATATGATCAAGCAAGACGTATTATTAGTACAAATCTGCCGTCACATAGCAAAATAATGACTTACACATTTCTCGTAACATCAGAGTAATGTGTGCTTTTGTATGTATTATATCAAAGAGCTTCTCATATTTGATGAAAGTAAAAATTTATTTAAAACCGAGTGTGAGATACGTCACAATTATATATATGGAAAAATACGATAAGATTTATGTAACTTTTTGGGTACGAATAACTAGACCAGTGCGTTTTGTATTGACTGATGATGGAGAACGTTTGCTCGGCTATCTGACTATTAATATAATCAAACATATTCTTATGAGACGGATGATCTGATCGCATTTCATTTTTGCACATGTGTCGAATGTGATTTCGTTGATGGAAAGAATCGAGTACGAAGTGAACATTGTGAAACAAATGGTCACTAATCGAAGTAGATTTAAAATACTCTGTTCCATATCGTGCTCCAATATACAGTTTTATCGAACACGCATTATCGTATATAATTCCCAACGGAGGTTTGCTGATTCGTGCTAAATGGACACGATTTATGAAGTAAAACATAAATATATATATTGTTTACCGATTTTAATTAAATGCCTTAAAACACGACGCGGCGATTCGGATCGTATTGATTCATCAAAACCAGCTACGATACCACACGAGTAAAATGAAGCCAAAAATCCATAAGTTGTTGATCGAGTTTGATTATCACCTAACTCATTGCGTTTGACATTACACATTTCTTCTGTTACATCATCCGCTGCATCGAATTCCATCACGTGAGCACCATGATTCGCAACTATTTCGAAGTGCTTTTCGCAAAGAGCATTCGAATTAATCTCTAAAGAATTTTGAGAGCAGACAGTGTTTAGAACGAAAATTGTGATTGAATTCGCACCTGGGTGTTTAGAAACGGACTTCGGACATCCAACAAGTACTGGTCCCAGCTCTTCAATAGTGTTGTCATAGCAGTTGTTGAATTTACACGTTGTTCGAGCAGTTTTTTGATGTCCATCAACTATCAATATATCAGTGCAACCAATATTACAGTTTGAAGATTTGTGCATTGCATGACTCGACCAATATTTGACAAATGCTGAATAAAGTTGGCTTTTATGGCGATCAAAGAAGGCATTCGCTTCGTTTTTATCATATAAAGAATATGGAACTTCAATGACTTCTTCATCACTCCATTGAAACAATAATTTTAAAATACAATAAGTAATCCAATTAATTTGAAATTTTTTTTCATCAAGCTTCTTTCGCGAGAATGGTGTTTTATTCATAAACATGCTATTAAAGTATTTAACAAACCCATGAAAAGACGCTCGCATTGCTAATAAAGCTGTTGAAAAAGATAAAAAAATTCTATGAGAATAAACACATTCACCGCCAAAATAATATGCATCCACATTTAAAAACTGTTCTTTTTGCACGCACTGCTTTCTAGCAACATCATTCCTGTAACTATTTGGATAATATGACCATTTGCATTTTTTACAATATGAATATAAAATGATGCATTGCTCTAAAAAGTTCTCATGATATATAAATGCTTTCGATGATTGGTACACAGGTAATACGTCATCATTATCCGAACAAACAACACATTTCTTTGACATTGGTTCAATTTTTCTGAACACAATCGAATGATTAGTAAAATTTTGATAATCCATTAACAGTTGATCCACATCCGTAGAAAACATTAAATATCCACGAAATAATTTTGACGATGAGAAGAATTCAATTTGTTGTTGTATAAAAGTAGGCGAAAAGGCGGTATTAAATTGCTTATTGATTATTTCGCAAATAACACCATATTTGTCGTCTAGTATAGAAGCGTCTTTTATTCTTTCATGTAACATCATTATGGTATAAATTGGAGCTTGCTTCAATAACTTGGTAAAAAATAGATCATTTCTAATTTCTAGCGATGTATCATTCATTTTGTTTATATCTACAAACGGTGCGAGCACATGTATAGAGAAAGATAAATAGCTGAGCTCATAAGAACAATAATAAAAAACCACACCGATGTAATGTGCTTCAATTCCAAAAATTGCATCAGTTTACTTGCTGGAACTTTAGATAAAATAAATGAATGAATACGGAAATCTTGTAACAAAAAAGGCCTGTGTATATCAATCGTGAACTTAAAAAAAATTAAATGAAAAGAAAAAGATATGCAACGAAAATCTGTTTCTTTTTGCGACTTTTCATGAAAAATTGTTTCATATAAGCAAATATACCAAGTCTACTTGTTTATTTCTTTTTTCTTTTGGATTGAGAAATAGCTTGCGATTTTGTTCGTTTTCTGCTTTCTTTTGCTGCACTTTCAAATGGTTCTATCCCTATTGACGAAAATGAAGCTCAAAGATACATAATTTTCACGATCATGTTACCTGTAACGTTATCTCCATATTCTAATTCATCTTGTTCTATCAACATATTTTCGATCGGACGAAAAACTGCACGTTTATCATAGTTGACGTAACCGCGATAATCTTCTGAATCCAGTAAAGTTTCGGCGGTTTGATTCAAAAGCAATTGCGTTGTCGTATGAAAACCTATAAAAGCAGTCAATTAAAATCAAGCTTGACATTTGTTTGCATTCAATTCTTATACCATTTCTTGTAAGATCGAAGAATGATTGAAATAATGTCCACGTGATTCCAAACTCATTTAAAGCCGTGATTAAATCAAAACGAGATTGTTCGTCATTTACTCGTGGCACTTGTTTAACGAAGCCTTTTGTCATCTTCATCGATTTGGATAACTTTCGAACAAAATAATTGTCCTCACGTAACAGATGTTTATGAATCATTAATTGAATACTACGCTCACGAATCACACCCGGGTAATGACGAGTGGCAAGAGCAATATCGGATGCAGATAATATTATCGACGGATATTGTAAAACAGCCTTTACACAAGCTTTTACATCTGGTGGATGATTATTTGGTGTTGTTTTTTTAGCTAGTTTTGAAGAATTATTATCTTCATTTTTCAAACAGTTGTGATACCTGTTTCTGGTTCAACATGATTTATAGACTGCGTTGTTTGACAATCAATTGTTGCACGATTATGATCAAAATCTATAGAATAAAAGGTTTTATTATTTGATTCAACATGACATGAACCCGATGCTGTATGTTTCAACCTTTTTGTTGTACATCAGGTGTTTTTTCATTATTCTCAATCAATTCTGTCACTTGAGTTTGTCCTGCTTGGGCCATATTCAAATTGTTTTCGAAGAAATCTAAGGATTAGTAAATAAACAACATCACAAGAATCGAAACATATATATTTATACGAATACTACTTTGGTGGTGATTAGAAATAAGATTTGTATCGTGATTGTTATCTAAAATAACGTTCGTTTCGGATGTATCTAAAACAGCGCGTAAGTACTAAACGGTGTTGTTTAAATTATGAAAATGTATCCACTTACGTGTCAATGTTTCACCATTGTTATGTACCAAGATATCGTCTCTATCATTTATATCAAATGGCTGATCTTTGTCATGAGAATCTTTATTTCTTATAACAAGAGCAGGAATAGGAATGGTTGAATACCGATCTGTTGTATTAGCAATATTTGCAGGGTTTAATCTAACTGAATCATGAGATGGTTGATCGTTATTGAGATTCACTAATAGAAAGAAAATATATGTTTTAACATATTGTAGACCAATTGAATCATAAAATTCTTCTATATTAAGAGTAAAATAAATAATAATATATATCGCTCAAGACGGAAACAGCGAGACTCCAGTGCTCCAACTTACTCTGACTATACTCCAGCATACTCTAACCATTCTTCATCAATATTCCACAATGCTTCAATGATACTCCACAATACTCCATAGTACTCCAAATTTTTTTTAAGTATTGGAGTACCGCTGTTTCCCCCTAGATACCACCATATATACCTGCTGATATTAGATTGTATTTTATACAATCATCACGATGTTCAATTTTAGTGGTTAAAATATGTTCGGCTTCTGGAAGAAGAGTGCAATTATTGGGTAAACTTGAACGAGCGAGTAAATTTCCATATTCATCAGCATTAATTTTATACTCTTCCAAACATTGAAGAAATTGTTCTCTTTCTGACGGTTCGATAGGTATTGGATTTTTCATAAAAGAATGAGTTTGTTGTGCTCTTGGTCGAGAAATGAAATTTCCTAATCTTAATAACTTCTGATTAACTAATCTATTCAACATATTGTTCAATGAGTTGCTGTCGAGATGGTGGAAGGGAGCATTAGTTTTTCTTCCATTTTCATTTGTTGAGGGTTGTTTCAGATCAGAACGAAGAAAAAATTGGAAAGGTAATTGTAAGATTCTTTTTTCCATTGATGGTTTTTCAGCAACTAATGTGCGAAACTGTGTAGATGGTACGCTTGGTTCATTTAATGATTGTTCTAAATTAAACAAGTTCAATGTGCATTTGAACAAGTAGTTATCGAATAAATTTGCGGTAATATGGCATGTTTCTAATGAAACATAACTAACAACATCATCGTTATTGTGCTTAACAAAGGTTAAATGTTTCTCGATGTAATATTTTGCCTTCACAATAAATGCTTGATCAACAATCTGTGCAAATTGTAAATCATTATTTTTTTTCATCTCGAACAGAACAAGCATTGCATCTACAAGACGCTGCATGTTCACACAAAGTCGAGGAAATATCTCTGCACTCTTGGAATAAAATGATTGAAGATGAGATTTTTGTCGATCTTTAAATATCCGCTGGCCTTCTTCAATATAATACTTTCCTTTCGTGACATAAAATCTCTGTGACTCATCGTTTCCTGACGAGTCTATGAACGTATATGAGATTTTTCCAATTAAATGGATAACCACGAACAGCTGTTGTAATGAAGGTAAGACTCGATTCGATTTTTTCATAAGATCGTAAGATATTAAACTGTTTTCCACAAAATGATACAAGAATCGATTTTCACAACCATCAGATATTTTGTGTGACGAATATCGAGCTAGTAACAAATGAAAGGATCCACCGGTACATGCACCTAATAATGATAAACGAGTATTTTCGATTGAAAAATCATACATTCCTGTTGTTTTGGACGACTCCGAAAAACCATCAAATGCTTCACATAAAAGAGATCGATTGGAGACCGCTCCCGGCTGACCTAAATCAAAAGATATCAGTATATATTTTTAATCATTGACGAAAGGTTCCATAAGTGAACTTTTTCATTTTAAAATCAGCTCCGGTTTCGGAGAACTTTTTCTCTTTGATTCATATATCGGATCTTGTCTCGAAAATTGATTTTTTTTTCCTGATTTCAACTTCTAGGAAATTCGATTTTTCATAATACAACTGAGCAATCTTCATTATACAAAAGGTACAGATTAACGATTTATTTAATGGATGAGCAAAGATAAATTTTTCTTATCTTTTTTTCACTTTTATTGAACTTCGATGACAAGGAGTTCTAAGTCAAAATCTTCAACTCAAAAGGAACTTGAAAAACCTTGTGTACTAAAAAGAGGAACCTTTGGGGTTCATATAAAAGAAAACGACTTATAAAACCGCTCATGGAATCATGTTTATCAAGCTTTTGTTGTGAATTTTCAAAATCAATTTGTATTGTACGGTGTTCATCACGTTTTCCGTGTTAAATAATCAGTAGATGACAACAATAATCTCAAGTATGATATGAGTTATCTCATAGAATTCCAATTCAAAAAAAGATTGTTCTACATCTGTTTGAAGCTCTTTATGTTTTATTCAACTCACAAAACTCTTTGATTTTTTAAAATAGAAAGACATCATCTTTACCATAGTGATAAAAACCCATCTTGTTCAAATTAGCATCTGCTTCGTGCATGAGTAAAAATTTATTTCCGGTAGACATTTCTTTGTGCAGACCAGCACCGGTGATATCATAAATAATGGACTTTTTCCCGTCTACATTATACGTTTCCGGGAAAAGATTCTCGCACGTTTTATAACAAGACTGAATGATATTTATCAACCCGCTTTTATCCGAACCTAAACCAATTGGAAAACAAGCTGTTACGTATCGGTTCCTTGAACATATCTTATTCATATCAAAAGCAAGTTAAATCAATATAGTTCTATTTTTAATAGCTCTCATTTATTGAAGATGTGAGTTTTGTAATTGTCGTGGTAATTGTGCTTATATGCTAGATGTCGATAGATTCGCATGGAATTATATGTGCTGCCCTTTTTATTTATAAAACGTGAAACAATAACTATACTCAATGCTCCATGTTGACATTTAACTTCAATTTTGTACAGTATTAACTTGTCAAGTTACCAAAGATAAAACCGCCAAATAACATTATTATGAGATTCAGCCAACCCCAACACATTGCATCATGCATGTAAATTTTCTATCCATCGAAACTGTACGTGAATATATCAAATAATTGAACAGTATAGTGCAACCGTAGTATCGTTTTCGTATAAAAATAAATTTCCAACCCAACCCGACCCAACCCAACCTAGACCATAATTGAATTGCAGTGCAACCGCAGTATCGTTTCCGTATAAAAATAAATTTCCAACCCAACCCAACCCAGACCATAATTGAATAGCATTGCAATCGTAGTATCGTTTCCGTATAAAAATAAATTTCCAACCCAACCCAGACCCTAATTGAATAGCATTGCAATCGTAGTATCGTTTCCGTATAAAAATAAATTTCCAACCCAACCCAACCCAACCCAACCAAACCCAACCCAGACCATAATTGAATAGCAGTGCAACCGTAGTATCGTTTCCGTATAAAAATAAATTTCCAACCCAACCCAACCCAACCCAACCCAGACCATAATTGAATAGCAGTGCAACCGTAGTATCGTTTCCGTATAAAAATAAATTTCCAATCCAACCCAACCCAACCCAGACCATAATTGAATAGTATAATATGCGTATATAAGATATTAATCTATATTTATTTCTATAACGTCTCTGTTCTAATAGCATCCTACGTTTAAAAAAAAACAAATACTATAAACAAGTAACGCTCATCCTTTGGATTCGCTGACCCTTTTCTGAAAGACTTTTCCGAATGCTGAACACATTCAGAGACTTTGAAAGAGAAAAAACGCACTGCGATTACTACTAGTGCTCAACTCAATCATGTCACTATGTCACACACTAGAACTGGAATGAATAGGANTTACGAACAGTATATGATTTTCGATTGAGAGGAAAATAACATTTAAGTTAATGTGACATTTAAGTTATCCATTGAAAACTGTTGACCTAATCCAGTGGAATTCGTTCCCGACGCATTGTTATACGAATAGGTTTGATAATTCAATGTCGTCAAATTATACCAATTGAGCGTTATTGTTCGTGCATAACTTGTATTAACAAGCAGATCTTGTTGATATGCTAATGTACTGCTACCTTGTATACCTTTTAACAATAAATGCAAAGGATCTTGGTAACCTGCACTTGCTACGAATGAATGAACATGAAATGAGGAATTAGTTCTCGTTATATTCATGGACGTTCCATTTCGATTTAGGACAATATAAGCACCGCTGGCTAATGCTCTCCGAAAGCCATTCGTCACGGCGAAACCGGAAACATTCGCATACCAACCATTGACCCAATTGAAACATCGATATGTGGTAGGAACAGCACCTTGCACTGAAGATGCATTGATAATATCATCGAAAGTTATGGTAAGAAATCCAGGAGCACATGGCGATGATGCAGAGGCTAAAACGAAACGAACAACCAATGATTGATTTTCCATCATATTACTAAAATGAACTTACTCATTTGTGTTGTTGGAGTTGATGAATATGTAAATGGTTCCATAGTTGTTATCTGTGGTTGAGAAGGAAGTGGTTGAAATAGATAAACCGAACTATTGATATTGGTACCAAATGAAAAGCTGCTCGTGAAATTTGTATAGAAAACACAATATGTTATGTTTTTGAAACAATTCATAATAGCATAAGAAATATTGGAAGTAAATGCATAACACACGCATTGTACACAACTTGTGGAATAATTGTATATATAAGACGCATTTGTGTTTATTGGATAAAAAGTGTAAACTGCGTTCGAAATAGTTCCGATGCTAAGAGTTGAAATAGCGCAAATATTCATAAATGTGATTAAACAGACAAACTTCATCAATGGAAAGATGTTAGTCGCCGAAATGATAGTTCTGAATGTATGCTTTTATATACTTCAAAACTCGTCTTGTAATTGTCAACCAATTATTGTTGAAAAAATAAATTGAAATTCTGTAATTAGGTTTGAAGGACATACGAAGTTTTTAAACTATGAATATTCATGGTAGAAATCGATTAAGCAACTGAAAGTTGAAGTA